TAGAGTATAGTGTTTGTCACAACATTGTCTCTCTCCGTACTGTCTCTCTCTGTACTGTCTCTCTCCGTACTGTCTCTCTCTCTCTGTACTGTCTCTCTCCGTACTGTCTCTCTCTCTGTACTGTCTCTCTCCGTACTGTCTCTCCCGGTACTCTCTCTCCCGGTACTCTCTCTCTCTCTGTACTGTCTCTCCGCACTGTCTCTCTCCCTCCTGTCTCTCTCCGTACTGTATCTCTCCGTATTGTCTCTCTCCGTATTGTCTCTGTACTGTCTCTCTCCGTACTGTCTCTCTCCGTACTGTCTCTCTCCCGGTACTGTCTCTCTCCCGGTACTGTCTCTCTCCCGGTACTGTCTCTCTCCCGGTACTGTCTCTCTCTCTCTCCGTATTGTCTCTCTCTCTCTCCGTATTGTCTCTCTCCGTACTGTCTCTCTCATCTGTATTAAGCGGGATTCACAGCTTTTTTTGCGATGCGACACGCGATGCGACGTGATCTGCGACGGACGCGTGCGATGCGAACTCGCGAAATACCATTCACAGAAGAAATCAGCGATGCGACAACGCCTTGCTGATTTGGCGCGAAGTTCAATGCAGGTGGGTACGTCACCACGGTATTCGCGTGGTTTGGTACAACTTGTACAAATTTATAGGCAACTCTTGAGAACCTTTGTACAACTTTGCTGTAGAAAAGGTCAAAATCGTACGCCAAATCGCTTGTCGCATCGCAAAAGTTGAGCCAAGCTCAACTTCTGCGACGGCCCAGTTGCGGCAGTTGCGTGGGGTGTGAGATGGCTGCGATTTGGGGACTTCCCGGTTTCGCGGCTGTTGTATCGCGTGTCGCATCGCAAAAAAAGCTTCTGTGAATCCCGCTTTACTGTAAAGTCCACTGCAAACGCCCATGTCGCAGCAAACGCCCACCCCAGCGAGTCCATACTATGTTCGTCTTTTTCAGGTCAGTAAAGCTGTGCAAAACCGTCATGAAGGCTGAATGCGTAGGAGAATGACTGTAATGCCTATAAACTGCCTGTGTCTTACCAGGGCAGGAGGCTCTGCAAAAGCGATTGTCATTATCTTGCATCAAAGAAAACTTCTGTCAAGATATCCTTTCATTCGATAGATGAGTCATCTTTGTATCCAGTGGTATCAGTTCGTTCTCCATATGGAATGCCGTAGAATCTATCTGGTTTTCAAATCATAAAATCTCTGCAGTTCCACGATGTCGCGCTGTCTGAATGCAACAGTGATTCACCGAAGATTGGATTGTTTTGACGAAGCGTCACTCAGTGACTTTCCCGGCTGCAGTACTGCAGTTGCAAGGAGAACAGGGAGAATGACACCGAACCTACAGCTACAAAGTCGCTGCTAACTTGTTGAAAACTCTGAAGTGCTCAAGAAAAAACCCTTGTCGTTGCGCGTTGTGTGAATGGGAAATGATTGCTTGAAACACCGTCAGATGTGTATTTGGTCCCTGCAATGCTATGTTCTTCCTACCTTGTTATTCGAAAGAAACTCCTGTTTGGATTTGCGAAATAAAACAACCAACATCATCATTATCATCATCACTATGAGCTAGCTCGTAGCTAGTGCCTGAAGAGATTTTGAAACTGGAAAGTGGACATAGTTTACCGTAGCAAAGCGCTCTTCGCGCTACGGTGTGAGATGCACTTTCGTACGATAGCTGTGACAGTGCGTAGGGGCCAGCAGATCTTGCAAAAATGGGGTGGGCGTTTGCAGCAGACTTAACGGTTTACTTATTGTATAACATGAATGTAGAGCCGAAGGATTTATGACAGGGAGACAGGGACACATAACTGTTCGCTATAAAGGGTCAATTTTGTATGGGTTCAAACAGGGACATGGACAAGGGTTCGCTATTATCACGAAATACGCTATATGCGAGTTCGTTATAAGTGGAGTCGACTGTACTGTATATGTGTGCATAGTATGGTGTTTGTTGTGATATTTTTGGGGGGCGTTTCTGGGGGTGGGTGGGTGGTTCAAGAAAGAAACGCCCGTTAGACGTCTCTAAGTAAGGCTGTGTTTACATGAGGCGTTTCAACCCGGGTTGAGTTCGACCCGGGTCAGATTTCAACCCGCCATGCACACAAAATGAATGGCGCGTTTACATGACGCATTGCGCTTGACCCGGGTTGAAATTTCGCCCCGGGTTGATTTCAACCCCCCCCCCCCCCCCCCCCTCACCTCTTTTGTCTATCGTACAGACTTTCAACCCGGGCTGAACTCGACCCGGGTTGAAATTTCTCATGTAAACACAGCCCTAATACATGTACGGACGGCCCCTAAGGGACCGACCATAATTATCAATCTTTTACACAAAACGAAAAAAGTTTCTTTTATGGCATATGGGTGGGTCGAGGAGAGTTATGAAAAAAATTAATAGCTGAAACATCAATCCATTCTAGCTGTCAAGTCAATATATTTTCGTGGGGGGGGGGGGGGGGGTCATAACTAAACTTTTTCATTTTTGTGAAAATTATCGATAATGCCGGATGGCCCCAATAAAATAAAATCAGTTTTTGTCTTGTCCCGCAACGAATGGACTCCTGTGTGGCTTCCAGGCCCTTCCACTTTGAGCAGGCATTGCGACCAGCGGCTCATCATGGTGTGAGATTTGAACCTCCGGACTATGTGACCCTGTAATCAGCTGCTAAACTCTGCAGAACTCATGTATGCTAAGCATTAACATGGCACATGTGATTACAACAATGAAATAAGGCTCCTGATAACTCCTGATTGATCCGTGAATCACTGATAATTCTCTGCAGTTCCACGATTTAATAATAGTGTGTTAATTAATGTTGCAAATGAAGGATCCAGAGCGGGATTCGAACTCAGCACCCCTGTCTTTCCGGCATAGTGCCCTACCGATTAGGCTACCGGGGATCACAGCCTGTTTGGGCGGGGGAGCAGTGTAGCGAGAAGGAGCCACGGGTGTGTGTGTGCGTGTGTGTGTGTGTGTGTGTGTGTGTGCGTACGTGTGTGTGTGTGTGTGTGTGTGTGTGTGTGTGTGTGTGTGTGTGTGTGTGTGTGTGTGTGTGTGTGTGTGTGTGTGTAATCCCCGATGGCCTTATTGGTAGGGAACAGTCCCGGAGGGACGGGTGCGGGGTATGAATCCCGCCCGTGGATCCTTCTTTTACAACATAATTTCGCTGCTCACATAACAGCAGGAAAGGCAGTTTTGAAATCAACTGAGGGAATTATTTTATTTTCCTTTTCCCACAATTGCCTGCAGAAGCTACGAACCCGACTCGGAAAACCGTAAGTTTTTTTTAGAGGAAAGGGGTGGGAAGGGGGGGGGGGGGGGCTCAGCAGAGGCCAACATCTGCTTCAAAGTGCGGCACTAATTTGAACTTGCAGTTCTTGTGCAGTAAAATTTAAAACAAAAAACCAAAAAACCTCTTCATGCAATGGAACGTCCAGAAATCTAAGCCCGAGTCGGTTGTGCCAAAAATCAATTTCGTGACAGTTAACCTCCCTGCTGTTTGCGGGGAAAATATCCCCGGTTTCGGGTCGTACCCAGGGTATGGATAGGCAGGAGAAAGAATTGCGTCAAGCAACTGTTGGATTATGCCAGGCAAGTTCAATGTTCGTATTTGTTTGCAATGGCAACCGGGAACCAATTTCATCCTCTTTCCACCGTTGTCCGTAAATCTTTCAGGATGATCACTATCGTTTGAGTCACTGGCACCAGAAAGTCATGCAAAAGTTGCCTTGCCCAACACCATTGACGAACAGTCAGAATTCTCAACTAACTTGACCTGTGGACAAAGCATTGTTGAGTAACAGGGATTTCCCCTTGAATCATGCTGATTCACCCCAGCATACTTCCAGTATGTGAGCCAAATGAAAAAAATCAAATGATCTATTCAGGGGCCATCCGGCATTATCGATAATTTTCACTAAACGAAAAAGTTTAGTTTTGACCCTCCCCCAACCACCCACCCACCCACCCACCCCCTTCCACGAAAAACATTGACTTGACAACTAGAATGGATTGATGTTTCAGCTATCGATAATTTTCAAAACGAAACTCTCCTCAACCCACCCACCCATGAACGAAACTTTTTCTCTTCGTGACAAAGATCGATAATTACGGACGGCACCTAAAGACACATCGACGAGCAAGAGTGTGACTGGTGGAGAGAGAATTTCTGTGGTTATGTACACGTACATGTATGTCCAGCTCCGGGACCATTTGAACTTAAAGGGACTTTTTGAGGTGCCGTAGCATTGGGTTTGTGACATCGGTGATGTTCACTTGCAGCTCATTCTGCTCTGCTGGTGGACATCATTCTTTCCAGGATGCCCAGTATTATGAAAAACCGGGTGATTGGGACTAAAGGTTTGCCCCGGAAAAGGTTGTGAGGTATCGCATTTCTGTGCTGTAATGCCAATTGAGACCGACCATAAAGAACTTCTGTGAGTTCCATTGTGATTGCGTGTGTGTGTGTGTGTGTGTGTGTGTGTGTGTGTGTGTGTGTGTGTGTGTGTAAATATCCTGTTATGGTGTTCAGGTCCCCGACATACATCCCTTACACTGGAGAAGGTACGTGTAGTTTGGGCGCACACTGCTGTTGTTAGGCATCTCTGTGGTACTGACAACACATACAGCCTAGGGGCCATCCGGCATTAGAGAGGTTCCACACTACGTGACGGTGAGCAACTTTACGTAGAAGTAACTTCTCCGGCCAAGGGTCTCGGATTCATCGTTACTCGTGTACGCCGGTACGAAGGAGAAGATAACATGTGCATCCAATAGGAAAGCACCTTCGAAAACGATAATGGAGAAAATTGGAGATTGAGATAGGACATAACAATAGTAAAAGCAGTGCACCTTGGAAATATGAAGATAGAGAGAACTGATAATTGCATAAGGTACTATGACTGGGAGAGACAAGGTTTAAAGTTGAGTGAAGGGGATCCGAAAGGGGTAGAATGGGGGCTGGAGTGCGGTCAGTATATTAGGCTGGTGTGTTGGCCTGGATGGAGAGATCGTAACCTGTCTATGGCCCACTCCCACTTGCTGTGCCGCAAGTGGTCGTTGACATGTTTCTTGAAGGTGTGCATACCTCTGCGAGAAGGGGGAGACTGCAGAAGTGTAGGTGGGAGCTGATTGCACGTTGCGATAAAGGAGTGGTGAAATGAGTGGAATGTGTTTGTTTCGTGACTGAGGAGGAAGGATACTGGCGAGTTGTGACGGGATTATGTGCTATAGATCCGGTTGTCTCACGAGTAGACATGCGGCATTGCTGTGCGGCTGCTGCTGGTGGCAGAATGGCTTTCAGCATTTTCGGACCCTGTAGCTTATACAGGAAACAGAGCCCTGCTACGGTGCGTCGAATGTCGAGGCTTGGGAAGTATGATCCGTCTCCAGTTACATGTGTATGTGTAGTGCACGGCGCAGTGAGACGGGCCAAAGTGGTGGAGGCCGCGCTCATCCACACAAACATGCCATACTCTAACACAGGGCGGACAAAGCCACAGTACACAATTGTCCGGTGCTTTGGATCTAGCACGGCTGATGCCGTACGGAGGAAGCTGAGCCGCTACTGTACGTAAGACTTTCCGTAGACCGACTACGTATCTTACTAACGTAATTATGTTATAATACTAAAACTTTTCGTTTTGTAAAAACAATCGCTAACCCTGGACGGCCCATTTGTCACGAATTCCATTTTAAATAATTGCGACAAGAAAACGTTCTGGAATATTTTTTTAATATTCACATATTTGACGGAAAGACGCAAGCGGGAAGAGTCTGAAGAAAAAATTGACTGTCACCACCAGGACTCGAACCAGGGACCTTTGCTTGAGGCCAGCGATGCTCTAACCACTGAGCTATGGTGTAGCTGTCATCCCAGCAGTGACCGTTCAACACTTTCTTCAGTCTTTGTAACTCACGCTTCATGTGAATCCACACAGGTGGGCGGGACGCCGCCCTCACTGTAACCCACACACTTCACTTACTAACTAGCATGCGGGGAGCCCCAAGTAATAAAATATTCACAGGTTTGAGGGAAGTCAATATATTTTTCGAAATATCAATCCATTCTATCAGAAGAAAGTGGTGGACATCACGCAACTGCATTGTAAATAAAAAGGGGTTTGTCAACTGACAACCGCTCTATTTAGTTGCTATTCACTCTTTAGATGAAAATTCTTTTATTAAAGGGGAAGTTAAGGCTAAAATCTAAATTTCACCAGTTGTAGTCTTCGGGGTGCTGAGTCGAATGGTCGTGGTCCGAGGAAGCTGAGACGCTCCCTTCCTACTTTAATCCCAATCGAACTTGCGCACTTCCACCGAAACTGGGTGACTGCGCCCTACTAGATGGGGATTTGTATGCAAAATGTCACTAAAAGTGCCATTTCGTTCTTATAAAAGCACGGATGACCGCGATTGACCCATATGTTGTAGTCTTTTGGACGCTGAGTCGACTGGTTTTGGTCCGAGAAAGCTGCGATGCAGCGTTCCTCCTTTATTCCCAATCGAACCTGGTTGAACAAGCGGTCACGTGCTCCTGTGTAGTCACCGCGCCAGCAGGCGACAATTTTCACACCAAGGTTCAACTCGAGTTCAACTCGAGTGACAGGACTGCACCCAAAAAAGGTCAAACAGGCTGTAAGTTGTACCCTGCAGGCACGGTGACCAGGTGACTGGTGTACGACTAGTCACCCATCGTCAGAATGTTTTCATCTAAAGAGTGAATAACAACTAAATAGAGCGGTTGTCAGTTGACAAACCCCCTTTTATTCCCGTAGGTATGCAAAAGACGTTACTTCAGTAAATGTCTGGTGCTAGCCAGGGTCCACACAGCTTTAATTCCGTGTTTGTTTGTGTGTTTGTGCCGTCGGCATGCCTGGCGCTATTCCGTACCTGTCACGTACCTTACGATCAAAGACAGCTGGCCACAATATTCAAACAGGGCTTTCAAATGCAAGATCATAACGTGAAGCAACTTGGAAGAATGAGTATATATGCGAAGTGTATCGGGAGAATGCATGCGGGGCGATAATGCGGGTTTGAATCCTAGGTTCTGTCTTGAAAAATAGGAGAAATGAAAAAGTTATAACATCCCTATGCTTTTTTGCCTAGGTCATCAAGGTGGTAGACGACAATGATGTAGCCAATCAATGGAAAACATTTCCATCAGCCTGTAATAACATGCATGATGAGCTAGGCAAAAAAGCATAGCGCAGGGCCCTGAGCTCCCAAGCTCTCTCGTTTATCAATCCATTCTAGCTTAAAAAGCTAGAAGGATTGATACTTCAGCCATCAATATTTTCAAAACGAAACTCTCCTCAACCCACCCACCCATAAACAAAACTTTTTTCGTTACGTGTATAAGATAATACTGGACGGCCCCTAATGTTTCTTCAATGCTGTGGTAACCCGTATGTTATACATCGTCTGTATTTCACCCAAGATTCGGCAAACGCATTTCAGAAACTACAGTTGCGCTCGGTGAAATCCGGCCCAAAGTGCACATTTGGCAGCCAGAACTTGCACGGTCCTTGACGCCCCGGAAGTGGCACAGTCAACTTCGCCAATATCAACTGCGGATATAACGACAATTCGTGAATAACGACAGAATTTCCATGCCCAGAGCTAAGTCCCATCTAACTGTAGTACTTCAAGTACATAATATGAGACTTCGGGTATAAGGACACTTCGCGAATAAGGACACTTTTCTGATGCCCCGCCGAGTGTCGTTATACGCAAAGTTGACTGTACACACATATGCAAATACAGTGATGTAATTGGACCTGGTGCAGGGCGCCAGGTTTGCAATTTGTGTCGGATTTCACCCAGCACAACTGTAGACGGCTGCTGAACGTGGGCCGAAGGCAACCGTTTCGAGGCTTGAAATTCGCGAATTTTAGGAGGGGCAAAAATGGAATGGTCTAACAAATTGCATACATGCAATCGATGCGCCCATATCCAGATGTACCGTATTTGCCGGTGTACAGTGTGCACTTTAGATGAGCTGTTTCAGGCCCCTGATCGCAGGTGCGCACTATGCTCCGAATATGAGAATACATGCACTTCGAAAGGTAGTGCGATTTATCAAACTACTTTCGCGAAGTTGCCAACCTCTGAGTCTCTGATGCATTTGTGCTGTCTTCTGCCAGCTACACTGCAAACGCAAGATGGGTATGATATCCCATAGTTAGCACATGCATTATACAAAAGTCCACGTTTTTAACAATTTTATGATAATTTCGTCCATGGTCGCACTATAATACAGGTGGAATCCTGATAATTTGAACCCCAAAATGCCAGGAAAAAACTTCTAATTATCCGTACATGCACCCACAACGCAATATTGTATGTCAAAATGCTCTCATGGTCACGCAGAGCTGCGCTATGGACCTTAGACACAGATTTCACGGATACTGAACTGACCGGCACAGCCTGCTCATGCAAACTGACCTGACCAGTACAGTGAACTCTGAATTTCACTTTCCTAACTTCGAATTATCAGCACAAATACCACACATTTTCTATGTAAGTGGAATCCGTGGGACTTCTAACAAGTCCAGTTCGAGGTTCGAATTATCAGAATTTGTTTATGTGGGAATCGTATTGATAGAAATCGGTCCTGGAAAAACTTCTAATTAAGTGGTATGTTCGAATTAAGCCATATTCGAATTATCAGGATTCCACCTGAACTGTCTTTATAATCCTTGATGTTCTCAAGTCTGGGCTGCGCATTATACTCCGGATATACCTTGGATTGCCAAAACGTTGGTAAAAGAAAAAGGGGGGTGCACGTTATACTCTGGCAAATACTCTACATGTAGTTAAAATGCAGGGCGCGCACCTGCCTCCGAATTTCGAGTCCGCGCAATGGCCAATAAAACCTACGGTCAACCTTACGAATAACAACATTCGGCCAGCCACAAGAATTACGCTGTTATGCAGTGGCTATTTGGAAAACATGACTGTTATGCATCTAAAATTGCTGCAGCGGTTTTCAGTCATTGCCTACGTGTTTTTGCACAGCGTGGTTTATGTGTCTGAATGCGGCGGCTCTCCACCACTGTGTATGTGTGCAGGGATGACCAAGAATCTTTAGCCTACCAGCTAGCACCATCGAATTGCAGCCAGTGGGACGCCGTCAGCATCAGTACATCTGCTCCAACTGGTCATCATGGCATCACCAGTGGTGTTTCACACCAGCAGCAGAGCATCGAGTATAGTAGTCCCCTGGAGTATAGTAATCCCCTCGAGTATCTGGTGAAGGCGTGTGCAGAGGTTGATAAGGCGCCCTGTGCAACGACGGATGGTGCGTCTGCAACGTTACCAGTTTCTACTTCTGTCTTTACTCCATCCGTGGTCAACGTTGGGTCGCTGGTTTCTGCAGCAGCTCTTCCAACTCCTGCCAGTGTGCCTAATGTGGATGTGTTGAGTTCGGCCGCCGCTGCCACCGCCGCCGGCGGTGCAGACTATCCTGGCTCTAGTGCACACGACTATGTAGAAGACGTGCCTGTGCGGCGGAAACGTGGTGGCGCAGGCCGCAGGACATCTCGCACTGAAGCACAGGCCGCGTCGGGCACGTCGGCACGCACCGGCGGCTTGCGCAAGGATGAAGCCAGCGGTATACCTGTGCGGAAGACCGGAGCCACGCAGTTAATGAAAGCGGCACCGAATGCGAAAATTCCCTTGCGCAACAACAACCGCTTTCCTACATGTATGACGCCGGTCCAATTCTTTGATAGCAACTTTCCGGATGTTGCAGAAGGCAATTCGTACACTGTCGTGTCGAATAGCTTTGATCACGCGTACCTGCCAGCTTCCAGCAATGTTTCCCTAGTCCATGTGCACAGCCGGGGATTCTCCGATGAGCACTGCTATGCGCAGCCTGCGTCGCAGCAGTCATCAAACTCTTCACACCCCCGTCCACGCCGATCCTTGGCTGACCTGACTGCTCTACCCAGCCTGAGTCTTTCTTCCTCTGCTCCGCAGTTGAGAGACCCAATGTCTTTCAGCTTGCAGTCGCTGCCTTTGCAGCCAGTCGCTATTGAAGATGCCAATATAGTGTCACAGTGTTCATCTCATTCTGCCCCTGATCTTAGCCTGCAGCCGAGGACCTATCCGGATATGAGTTCATACAGTAGCACGCTGAGCCTGAACCTGTTGGCTGCCACCGCCAATCCCAACCCAATCACACCTGTTGCTGCTTCTGCTGCTGCTGCAAGTGTATCTGATTACGATGAAGCGGTGTACGGTGGCGGCAGCTCACTCTGAAGTGCTTGCTATCAGGTGGTGTGTCTTATCGCTGATTTTGCGCACGGCGGCCGTTGTCTCTCAAGCTCCATGTACATGCGCCCTGGCTTCATCATTGTGTACATCAGGTATCGCAAAACAAAACAAAAGGTTTATACGTGCACATTGTATCCATAAGCTCTATATGCAATTCTATTAAACTTCCCTTCTGCGACTGCTTCGTATCGGATATGTAGATTTGAAGGTTTTTATCTAGGTCTTTTCCCATTTTTAGCATTTTGGAATTCTACTCCCCCCCCCCCCTTCCCATTGTATTTTTTTGTAGTATGGCATTAGTGTCTTCTACTTCACTGGCTGTTTCTTTCGGTGCACACTCCTCTATTTTTACTGTCCGTTGCACCGCTTGGATATCGTTTAGAGCAGCCCTTGTTTCTCCTCCTCCGTCTCGCCATATTTTACAACACTACTCGCTGTCCAATCTGAACCCAAATCTGTAGCTTATTTTTACTCACTGTTTGTGGAGGTGCACACTGTGTATAATCCCGATTTGTATCACACAGAGTTGCTCTTTCTGTTCTCCTCTGCTTTGCTGGGTGCTTGTCAGACAATGCTATTTGTGGGCATTTTGCCGATCATTTTCTATTGAGACACTATAATTGACCATCATGCAACGAAATTTACACACCCACACACACTTATACTGTCAGAAACGGTTCAAGTGGGTCTCCCCGAGAGATGGGAGAGAGATTCAAAGGGAATCTCGGGAAGATGACTCGGTTGGCGATTGGAACCACCCAACGGCTAACACCCCCCCCCCCCCCCCCCCCCCCGGGACTCTAGCTGGACTTGGTAATGTTCCCACGTATGCCATGGGCTCACCACACCTCAGGAAGTGGAGGAGGACAAGGTGCAGAAAAAGGATTTCCGGCATCAGGGTATGCGTCCAGGGATCCACTGCATTTACTCCCTGCATTTACTCCCTGCCCGTAATGAAGGCCAAGTGCCAGTACATGCAATACCCTGTCCCCGGGGAAAATCGCGGAAAAAACGCGGCATATTAGAGAGGTTCCGCACTACGTAAAGTTGAGCAACTTTACGTTAGTGGGCGGGGGAAACCCGTGAATTCGCGAGTTTGCACTCTACTTACGTAAAGTTGTCTATGTAGAGTACGTAGATAGGGCTCTGATAACGCAGCTGGTCCGTAAGTGGATTGGAGTACAAATTTATGACTCTCTCCCCAGGTCGATCTGGTCGTACACTGCCGCGTTCGGAGTTGCCAAGGCCAGCTACGTGATTTGAAAACTCCGTATGGCGGAACACAGATGCGCATGCAGTTTACGTAAGACTTTCCGTAGATCGACTACGTTTTTTACTAACGTAATTACGTTATGCGGAACCTCTCCAATTTGCGGTGAATTTGCGGTAAATATGCGCTTAATATGCGGTGAATATTATTGATATGCGGCAAGTTTGCAGTTGATATGAGGCAATTTTCAGTGAGTATGTAGTGAAATCAATCAGTTACAAGTCTCTGGTGTAAGCCCTCGTCATATTTGAGTACAAAGCCGCCACGATGAGACGTTGCTGACCGAACAGTGCACTGTGTGTACGTGTAGTGCAACAAAAAACTTGAAAAAAGTTCCAAAAACGCGGGAAAATCTCGGAAAACGCGGTCTTTTAAAAAATCGCAAAAAAACGCGGAAAAAAGCGCGGCCGCGTAATCGCGAATTTCCCCGGGGACAGAATACCACCTACTAGGAGAGGGAGTTGACTCCCTGCTGAACATCTAGTGCTAGTAAGAGTACTTAACCCTCCAAGAGCGTGCAACTCACACATACCCTGCTCTCCCGACAGAATTTCAAGTTGACGTCGTTTTATGATGTAATGCTCCTCGCATTGTGATGTCCCGTATTTCCCTGATTACAATCATGTGACACTTGATTTACCGTATTATCTCTAATATAAGCACAGTCTCCAATAATAGCACGTCTCCAATAAAGAACACCTTGGGGCGGCATTCAAAAAATAAAGTGCTCAGTCTCCATTATAAGCACACTGTGTAAATTCATTATCTGTACCGGCGAAAAAACCCTGAAATGTGTGTGTCTGACATGAATTTGGCATGGCAACAAGCCTCTGAAATGAGGTTGAAATAATAATGGAACAGTCTCCAATAAAGGAACGTCTCCATTAATAGCACGGGGCGGAGGTACATTGAAAAAATAAAGGACCGTGCTTATATTAGAGATAATACGGTATATAAGTCGCACCCCCATTTTCAGGTTTGAGCCCTAGTGTTTCAATATAATCACTTCTGTAGTAAGTCAGGGAGTAGCAAAATACCGCATTTACCACTCCCTGTTATGTTACGGAGTGTGAACGTATCACACGCGCTCCTTGAACTAGTTTGTACAGGATAAAATCGGGATTTATCAGCCACAGGTCCAGGATAAGTAATACTTGTACAGTGCACATTGCATCACAAAAATGACGTCAACTTGAAATTCTGCCGGGACTGTACCCACAGTGGAGTTGCACACTCTGGTGGAGTATGTACTAATTGTTACTGAATTGGGCTGGTAGAAGCACATTTTTATTCGGTCGCTACGTAAAAGACTTTACATAGCGCTTTATTTCATACATGTGTGTGTGTGTGTGCGTGTGCGTGCGCGCACGCTTGTGTGTGTGCATGTGCAGACCCGCCCACATCATGGCCCGAACCGGCATTGGAGGGATGTTGTGCAGCAGGATTTCCGCACAATAGACATACCCAAGGAGCATTGGTGTGGGCTTGCGCAGAACCGTGGGGAAAGGAGGCAGTTGTGCCGTCGTCTGAGGCCTCAGCGGATGGTGGTGAAGGAAGTCCGCTGTGTATGTGGTCGTGCCTTCTCCCGCCCTGAAGATTTAAAGAGATATTCTCGCTTCTGCTCTGTCTGACACCGCTATCATCCTGACTGTGGATGGGCGTTCAAGGTTCAAGGGTATGTGTGGTGTGTATGTGCATGTGTACGTGCGTGCGTGCGTGTGTGTGGATAGGAAAAAGGCTTCACTAGCACTATTGATTACACAAGAGTTGCTCTAGCCGGACGTAGTCCATCGGTGAACAGGTATGTATACCGTAAAGTCTTGTATAAAAGCCGCGGCTTCTATGACTTTCTTGGTGAAATTTTGCAGGCTTCTATATGAGACAGGCTTCTATACAAGACAGGTATTTCTATGTATGTCAACACTAAAACCAGGCTTATGTGTGATTTGATGGGCCCAAAATTGCGGCTTCTATTTGAGGGCGGCTTCTATTCAAGTGCGGCTTTTATACAAGACTTTACGGTACTTCAAATAGAAAAAAATTATAATTATAGAAAGTATACAAGAGAGAGAGGGGAAGCTGTGTTGCAACTCCGAGTTTCACGTAGTCCCGATCATCAGTTGCCTGATGATCGTGACCACGTGAAACTCGGAGTTGCAACACAGCTTCACCTCTCTCTATCTATCTCTCTCTCTCTCTCTCTCTCTCTCTCTCTCTCTCTCTCTCTCTCTCTCTCTCTCTCTCTCTCTCTCTCTCTCTCTCTCTCTCTCTCTCTCTCTCTCTCTCTCTCTCTCTCTCTCTCTCTCTTGTGTGGAACGCTCTGCCCTATATGGGTATTGAGCACTCTTCGGACAGTGGAGCACGCTACTTTATTATGTAGAAAGTATAGAAAGCCGTTATCAGATCCACTCTGATTTAGCCACCCACATTAGTAGCAAGTATTACCTTCACGGGCGGCAGGGGTAAATGCAGTTGGATCCCAGGACGGATACCTTGATGCCGTCAATGCCTTTTTTTACACCTAGCTTGTCCTCGTTGAACAATGGCAGGTCAAGTGGCCCAGATAACATGCCAGGGGAGCTGCTAAAGTACTCACCTGCCCTCGTCTACTCCAATATCGCCCAGGTCCTCAACTCTGCCGTCGAGACAGGCCTGCCCCTGAACAGCATCGGTAGTGGGTCGCTTATTCCGTTACAAAAGCCTGGCAAATCAAGGGGACCAGTCGCTCACCTACGGCCCGTGGTTTTACTCACAGCGCTCAGGAAGATTCTATCATTGACTGTGCTGCGGAGGATCAACAAGGACGTCAACAACTTCGTTGCACACACACAGAGTGGTTTCCGCCCCAGCAGAAGCACCACAGATGTTGTGTGGTCATACCGATGGTTGGCGGCTCGATGCCAACGCTATCGCTGTGCGCTGGATATCCTAGGCATTGATATGTCAAAAGCGTTTGACTGTATAAGCAGGCCACGGCTCATCTCGGTGCTGGGATCGTTCTTGCAGCCGGATGAAATCCGAATGATCAGTTACCTCCTCCAGGACACCGTACTGCGGGTTGTACTCCCATCCGCTAAGGGCCCGTCATTCCCCACTCTCCGCGGCACACCCCAAGGTGACTCGTTGTCTCCTGTTCTTTTCATTGTGTACCTTGAGGGTGCGCTGCGTGATGTCCGGCCTCTTCTTCTACCACGTCCCCCTGCCGATATCTCCCTGGGGTTACCAACTGAAACTGCCTACGCCGACGATATGGATTTCGTGACTACTGATGGTGAGAGGCTGCGGACCCTCCTTCCAACCATATCCAACAAGCTCCTCGAATGGGATTTGAAAGTGAATGAGACCAAAACAGAGCACACGCACATCGAACGGCACACTGATCGCATCGAGGAGGAGTGGCGAACCACCAAGAAACTCGGGTCCCTATTAGGTGATGCCGAGGATATGCTACGGCGACAGCAACTGGCAACTGTTGCCTTTGGTAAACTGTGGACGCTGTGGATCCGTATGTCGCTAGTTTCGGAGGATCTCCGCATCCGGCTCTATAATGCCTTTGTACTCCCTGTACTCTGCTACAATTGTGCAACATGGGCACCAACGAAACAGCAGCTGAGCCGTATTGAGGCCTTCCACCGAAAACAGCTGCGGGCGCTAATCGGCATTGTGTTCCCGAATCGGATTAGGAACGAGAGGCTCTATGAGCGTACCGGCGCGGTTCCTCTCGGCATTATCATCTTGAGAGCTAGGTGGAGGCTCTTTGGGCACGTCCTCCGGCTCCCGGCTGACTCCCCACCATCACTGGCCATGGGAGCGTACTTCGCAGAGCCTCGTCCAGCGGGCTGGAGGGGACGACCAAGACACACACTACCAACGCTACTACAAGATGATGCCAAGCGGATTGGACTTTCCTTGTCAAGCAAAGTCGATCTGGAGGCGTTCCGTGCTCTTGCTGCTGACCAAAGCGGTTGGGTGGGCATCTGTGCCTGAGTGGTGTCAGCACCCTAGTTTTTGTCTTCTTTTCGCATATTTCTTCTTTTTCTGAAACTGTTGTGGTCTTTTGTATCTATTCGAAGTGGCTTATGCGAACATTTTTGGCTGGTTTGCATGATTTGCAGGCCATGCTGATGTCTACGCGAACAAGCACATAATAATAATAAATAAGCTTGTCCTCGCCCACTTACTGAGGTGTGGTGAGCCCATAGCTTCATAAGGGTGGGATCATTTCCAAGTCCACCCAGAGTTTAGGGATTTCTGGGGGTGTCGACCGTTGGGCGGTTTTCCAGGCTGAGCCAATCGAGTCATCTTTCCAATATTCCTTTTGAATCTCTCTCCCCTCTTCCGGGGCGGGGGGGGGGGGGGGGGGTGGGGAGGGGAGTTGTATTGTCCAACAAGGCCAATTCCCCAATTACAACTGCGTTAGTCACTGGGTTATTCTTAGTAGATCTACTCACCCTATCACCATGATCACGGTGATGGTGCAGGCTATTGTAATATTGGTGGATCCATGGAGTATGCCGGATACACTCCTAGTACAGACTACACTACAGTACACTGCACAGCCTAGCCAGGCAGTTGAAGTGCTGATGCATGGTCATGAATACAAGAAAGTCATGATGATGGTGTTGGACAAGGCCAACGCAGCAGCGATCTAGTGCTGATGAATCCGGAGGTAGATCTACAGGTTGTCAGTGGTCCCATCGATGAACCAGCTGTTGTAAGAAACGGCTTGGAATTAATTCTGCCACACAATGCCACTTCGTTAGTTCGTGACTTACCTGCTTGTCTTCGCCATCCGGATATCCGGCGACCTGAGTAGGCTGAGAGCTGTCGACACGTCCGTAGCCGGCATAGCCTAGTCGTGGCAGTTGGCAGGCGAACCGTCGCGTTTAGCGTTGGAGTGGTAATCATCCTGGTTGTAGCGGACGGATGCTGTCAATGTCGCCGAGCTGTCACTGAGGCTCACGCGTGCGCCAACTCCGAATTTACTGACTGTTGTTTGAACCAACGCCAATGAAGGACTTGGGAAACTGCCAATTCAGTAAGGTGAAGAATTGCTTGGCAAGGAGAGGAATCGTCATTGTGCGCTGCGCTGACCGGCAGATTTCGATAGCGTGTCTTGACGCGCGAGATGGCTACGTTCGAAATAATTGACGGTGGATGTACAATTATTTTTCTGGCCTAGCTAGAATCCAATCCGTTGACCTCCGCTCAGGCCATTGCCGCTGCGCCATCGGTTAGCATTCTGACCATGGCATCGGCACAGCTAGTACAGCGGAGAAAGCGCATCCTTATAACAGGCAGCAACGGTAGGGGTTGCACGTAACTCGTTGAGCTAGCACGTCCACGCACTTTTTTTGTAAAATGCAGTCACGAAGATGTACTACTAGTGAAGTACACGCTGTATACAGTTTTGGTCTAAAGAGGACTGAATAGCTAGGCTACAAGTAGTGTGATCGCACCCAGTCGCTGTGAATCAGGACAAATACAATAATAATTATTATTATTATCTCAAAGCAGTATTGAGGAGTTTGAATGGCAGCTAGCGTGCTACGACGCAGTGATCACCATGGGCTACAGTTATCAATAGGCTTTTTTTAATTTAATTAAATAGATAATTGTACGAGTACTAGGGTAGCTTTTTAATCATTTAAAAATCATTTTCTGTGCAGTGGTTTCATGCATGTCCTTGGTGGCAAAACCTGGGCTTCATCGACCAGCCGGGACGGGCATGCCGGGGAAATGACAGTCATGAACTCTGGTGCTCTCTGAATCCCGGGTGGTCCTGTACTTTGTGGCGTTGGGTGCCAAAGACTAGTGGCCGTACAGACCAGGTGGTTGCTGAAAGCGGGTGGCCTGGCAGATCAGGTGGTTGCTGAAAAGACCAGGTGGCTGCTGCAAGCAGGTGGTTGTTGAAAGCAGGTGGCCTTACAGACCAGGTGGCTGCTGCAAGTAGGTTTGCTGAAAGCAGGCGGCCTTGTGAGCAGGTTTCAGCTGTGCAGAAGTGGCCAACGAAGTACAGAATCCAGCATCCTTCAAGTTGACACATCGCTGCAATGGTTTGTGCACTCGGCTGCTGCATCTGCTGGCCTAGACTGCGGCAGTGCTCTGGGAGCGGGAGGCGAGGACGTGTCCTTGTTTTGCTGACAACTGCCGTAGCCAATGCGGTACTGCGTGTACAGATGTCTAAGGTCCTCAGGCTGCGTATGGTGCTCCATGCCGGTCCAGTGGACAGAGCCAGCAATACAATGTGGTAGTACATGTACATGTATAGTAGTGCTAAACTGTAGTGTAGGTCAGTGCCAGACATGTTGCTACATGTATCAGTATAGTAAGGAGGTAGGGCAGATGAACCGGGGACCTGGCTATATGTGACATGGCACCTACATTATACACACATTGCACACACTTCACTGTACACACATTGCACATACGCTGTACACACATTGCACATACGCTGTACACACATTGCACACACGCTGTGCACACATTGCACATACGCTGTACACACATTGCACATACGCTGTACACACATTGCACATACGCTGTACACACATTGCACGTGGCACGGCTGGTCTATACTTACTTCACCTTCGCTAGTGGCAGCGGTCTCCACACAAGACAAGCCGCGGGGCTGCGGTGGGCAACGTCCGGCCGTAGTGTACTTTGATCCTCACATCGTACAAGGATCACAACTCCCGTCTGTCGGGCACCCTTCTGACCCATCCTGAGTTTAACATGGGCCTTCCAACAGATCGGCATCCTAATATTATTATTTGGCATACATACTGGTATACTAACAGTACTTTCTCGCATCATGTCATCGCCATGTAAACGGTCACACCGGGTGTCTACGTGTTTGTTCTGATTTGCCGGTAGTTCCCGCATAGAGGATGTTCTACTGCGTGATCCTAGATGTGCTTTCCCATAACCTGATTTTCCTTTCCCTGGCTGTAAATCAAGGCTGGTGGGGTTGCTCTTGCGACATAGCGTGCTCTGGTAGTATCTGGCGGTGACAGTAGTAATGTCAGCAATAATGAACCAATGATCTAGGAGTACAAAACCATGTTTTAACTTCCTGATGGACTTTATCTATCAATCAGAATTGAGTGGTTTTATCAATACAATATATTGACCTTTGATAAATACCCACACTCATTCAGTAGTGACCACACCATCAACAGTATCAAATTCAAATAAATTTGCTTGACTCAATAAATACCACTGTACTTTTCCATGCAGCACTGCATTTTTCCCTAAAAAGGAGTATTTTATAAACAGTATTTATTGGCCTAGTGGTATTTTATAAACAGCATTTATTGGCTTTTGGGTCAATAAATACTGTTTATAAAATATACCACTAAGGCCAATAAATACTGTTTATAAAATACTCCTTTTTAGGGAAAGTGAAGGTCAACATATGTATAATAAAATGTAGTAGCCTCAGGATTTATTGCAATTAATAAATACCAGTTATAAAAACCTCGGGGGACCTAGGTTTTTATACTGGTATGTAATTGCAATAAATCCTTCGGCTCTACATTTATTATATACATACGGTCATGTATAGTGGACCCGTGATTGATGTATTGCTGTCTCTGTTCATGTTTACTTGTGGGTGCCCTGCTGCGGCTATGGAATTTCAACTGTGACTTGGCGTGTGTCGTTGTACAGGCAATCTAGGTGAGTGGTGATGAGTGGAGCGTATACATTTTTATAGTTATATGTTCTACACTGGTATACGGTACTTGTGTCACACACACACACACACACACACACACACACACACACACACACACACACACACACACACACACACACACACACACACACACACACACACACACACACACACACATACACACACATATACACACATGCATTCGATAGCTGATCACCGGATAAGGGACATTGAACTTTACCTGATTTCCCTTTTCGGTCCCTCAGATCAGTGCAAGTTGATGAGAACTAAATACCTGGCTTGTTATGTTTGATTCATTCTGCTGATGCATATAGGTGAGAAGCTGGCAAGAAACCTTCTTGAACTACAGGAGTATGATCTGATCCTCATTGACCTGGATAGCGAGAGCAAAGTGCCGGTATGCCCTCGATGTGTGTGTGTGTGTGTGTGTGTGTGTGTGTGTGTGTGTGTGTGTGTGTGTGCGTGTGTGTGTGTGTGTGACGGTGTGTCAGTGTGTGTATGTGTGCGCGTGCGTGTGTGTGTGTGTGTGTGTGTGTGTGTGTGTGTGTGTGTGTGTGTGTGTGTGTGTGTGTGTATGGACGCACGCATGCGAGTGTGCCTGCTTGAAGGGAGTCCTCCTTATTAGAGGTTGGCAGTGTAACAAACTAGTACAGTATATATTGTGTTCTACCAGTGCAGTGCAGTGCAGTGCAGTGCAGTGCAGTGCAGTGCAGTGCAGTGCAGTGCAGTGCAGTGCAGTGCAGTGCAGTGCAGAGGATTGACACGGACATCATGTCATTTTGCCGTTCATTTGCTAACAGTTCCTTGTAACCATTGTGTTCTCTGGTATAGCCATGCGGACCAGTTCCACGTGTAGAGTACTACCAAGCTGATCTCAGCAAAGTCAGTGCGTCGTGGACTGGCAAGCTTCGGCGTTCTGACGTTGTTTTCCATTTCGCCGGCTGCAAGCTGAACGCAGACGTGAGCTGGGCATCTGCTGCGCAATCGCTGGACACGGCGTGTAACGTTCTACTGCACGCCGCCCAAGCCAACGTCAAGCGTGTGGTGCTGGCTAGCTCATGGCACGTCTCTGGTACGCCCTGCCACGCTGTTAGCCCTATCGCCGCACACAACCCCCCCCCCCCCCCCTCCACACACACACACACACACACACACACACACACACACACACACACATACACACACACACCACCACCACCACCACCACCACCACCCGCTCTCAATACGTGGTACCTGTAATCTTGTGTTGCACATGCCATGATTCCAGTACCGCACACTCACGTCTTTTTTTGCGCTGCTGTGTTGCCTGTCACTGCCTTTCCTATTCGTTACACATTGTGCTTGCAGTGGCCTCTGCTGTGGCTCCAGTGACAGACTTTGATCTCAGATTGATTTGCTCGGTGTATGTATCTGGATTGCAGGCTCGTGCAAAGACTTGGACTGCTCGCCTTCGCATGCCAGAGATGAGCGGCTGTTTTCACCGACAGACCCGGTGTCCCCTGGCACGCAGTGGTTTGCTGGCTGCCGGCTCATCGACAGTACTTCCTACGCCGTGCCCAAGCTGGCGGAGGAGAGACTGGCAAAGTGCCTGGCTGAGTCCAATCCAAGTAAGCATACTACTAGGACTCGTAGACATGCTCCGCGGTCTGTAGATGGGTTCGCCTCCAGAAGACCAATCACCAGCTATAGTGCTCATGACCTCACACGTGTGTGAGTACACTGCGTGTCCATTCTTATTGTGTAAGAATTTTAAGAAACCGACAGAAAGTAGTGCATGTATGGTGGTGTGGTGAACGGGATTGGCCAGAGAGCGCTTGAGTTTCGACTAAACTAAGAGAAGAACGTATGCCAGCTCCTTGTAGCTCATAGCTATAGTGCAATGCACGTCGCTTGCAGACAACTGTGTGCGTTGTTGTGTTGTAAAGGTCTGCAGTTGCAAGGACCCACTTGACTGTATCAATGTTATCTAGGAGTATGCGTGTGTTGTGTCCTGCAGCTACAGTGTTCCTAGTGTTGCGCATGGGATGGTGCCAACCAGGAGAGAATATCCCTGGTACTCTGTCAGCAGTGGGCTGCGAAGCAGATGAGCCTGAAACTGGTCTTTCACTATCAGGTGTGTGACATTTCAAGCTAGCTTCTGTATCTGTATGGTGCGCTAATTAAAATTTTGTACGTATTGGCTAGCGAGTGTGCCTTTCTATCGCATTGACACACATGCCCTAGCACTTCTTGGAGCCACTCAATGCATCTTTTTGTCTGCCTCTCTTCCCCCCCCCCCCCCCCCTTTACAGCACATGGTTCTGGCAACCCACTGGATGACTCGCAATTTTTACGGGAGTGGTTCCGCAATACTTGGCTGTCCAATAGGTAAGCTGTGCTTTATATGTGGTGTATTGTGTACATGTATGTAAGAATACGGCGGTAACGTTAGATCAGGATTCAGTTCAGATCCAAGTGACTGGAGCAGCCAGTGTAAACGTTCTGTAGGGTGTCACTAAAACTAGATGCTGTCAGCTAGTGATACCCGTAGCTTAGGCTGAGTGGAGCAAGGGGTCGTACTCACGACTAATGACGTCATGGATTTCTGTAGAAAATGAAATGCGTGAACCGTTTGGTGTGACACGATTGTAAGCACCGTGCCATTCTAAGCTATCTTTAAAGTGGCACAGCTGAAAGTGATTGAATGTCCGAAATCCGGCGGTCTCTGTGGAACACAAGAGTTTTCCTCTTTTTTCTTCTTAAAAAAAAAAAAGCTGAATGCATGCCTTTGTCATTTTTACTTCATTGTGGCCGTAGAGGGCAGGACTGGTGCTGTAAAGGGCAGGACTGATGCCGTAAAGAGCAGGACTGATGCTGTAAAGAGCAGGACTGATGCCGTAAAGGGCAGGACTGATGCTGTAAAGGGCAGGACCGATGCCGTAAAGGGCAGGACTGATGCCGTAAAGAGCAGGACTGATGCCGTAAAGGGCAGGACTGATGCTGTAAAGGGCAGGACCGATGCCGTAAAGGGCAGGACTGATGCACAAGTACATTCAAATTTTTCCCCATGCTAGCTCACCTCCAGAAAAGAATGGCGATGCCAAGGTTGAACCCAAAAATGGTTTTGCCTGCATCGATTGGCTGGCAAAGAATCTCAGAGGTGACTTTCAGGAGTGCTAGTATCTCAAACCAGCCTTTGAAGCTGCTCAAGGTCTGTGATTGAGGGCTGCGGTAGTATATTAGACTGTGCACAATGTGCATGCACTGCATGATGGTTGCAGAGCATGACCAGACCAGGGAGCCTATAGTCATGTCCGAGCAGCCCCCCCTCCCCCCCCCCCCACACACACACAAATACACACACTTCCACCCGACGTGTGTGGTGCGCATCTTAATTTCTCTAATGCCCTTGCAAGACTAACTCTTCAGGCAGCACTGAACAAAATGGTTGAACATCTGTGCCCCAGGGGTGGGCAGAAGACTCGTTCAAGCGTGCATAGTGAATGGTGGAGCCGAAAGCAGGAAATCACGTGAGAACTACGCATGGCATTGTGCAGGAGATGCACAATACATGCGCACAGCTTGTAGGCAGAAGCATGCCGCTAAATTGTGAAAAGGCTAGTTCCGGACGATTGTGCAGTAATCACATAATCCATGGGGAGTCAGGTATGGTGGCTACCTGGCTGCAGTGACGTGCATTCACAACGTACTCCAGTTCATAAGCAGTGCCCAACAGTCGTGTTCAAGTTTATACTACCTTCTAGTTCGTAATGAAACAGCATACCATTCAATGAAACAGCATACCATTCAATGAAACAGCATACCATTCATGGTAGGCTGCATGGCCCACGGGCCATATGTCGACCAGAAACAAAACTACGTGATCTACTACTTTGGAAGCGCACTACCAAGTATATATGCCGGACCTCCGACCACCTGCATGCTCACTAATGAATTTGACCAGGAATTACATGACAGCGTGGTGGTCACGTGGGAAATTCATGACAGAGAACTGCATTATTATTATTATTTTATTTTTTACCCGTGTCTTGTCCAGGGACTTCTGCACGCTGTGCTCAAAGTGCATCAGTGGCCAGCTGCCTACAACGTCGAAAGGCTTCTACATTGTCAATGCAGTGTCTGCGAACGCCGGTAGTCACTGGGACTTGGAAGCCGGCAAGGACTTACTGGGATACGAGCCGCAGGACGACGCTCATAAGTGTGTTGAAGACGATGGCTGGACGCTACTTGATAGCTAGCTCATTTTTTCCAATGATTATAGTTGACCATTGCACTACATATAATTATTCCAGCACATACAAGTGAAACGCTTTTGCCTAACTGCTGGCAGTTGGATAATCTTATTTGCACAAGAAGCGTGGGGTTTATATACCGGTGTGATTTCCGGCTACAAAGACAGCGTTCTAGCTATGCAGCATCTACATGGAATATCATTCCCCTTGCTTCACACGCTGTCCCACTGCCACGAAGTTTATTTAACCCTTTCAGCACGCATCACGTATATGTACGTGATGGTACATGTAACTGGCCCACGGATCACGTATATATACGTGATGCGTACAGTGAAAATGAACGTACTCCCGAGACATCCGTGGTCGACGGATCTTATCCCTACGTGGACCAGTGACGTGCTGGATGAACGTCGACTGTTCTACGATGGTACTGACGGGCGCACGTGTGCCGCTATGCACGCGTACTAGTACATAGATGTCGCGTGCGAACATGCATTCCGCAGAAAAAATTGTGAGTGAATAGGACTACTTTTGGAAAATCACGAAAATCACTGGTTTTGGCTCTGCGGGTCAGTTACACACCCTGGCCGTGCTGAAAGGGTTAATAAACTATTACTCATGCTGGTGACAGTGGCATGCAATGTTTCCACTTGATGAAGAAAATATAACACTATCAACGTCATGCCTTAACGACCTGGCAGTTGACTGGGTGTACCCGCTACCCCACAGAATACTGCCACCCTGTCAGTACCTGGAGGGTGAAATCAAGAGTACTAGCACATGTACCGGAGAGTGCAAGTCCTGGAGAAAGACACAACAGCAAACTTCTTGTTGCTGCTTCGTCTACATCATGCTTTTGCTGCACCATGCCCACACTCACACTGGCTATCACGACTATTTGGTCGCATCTACTTGTAGTCTAAAGTACGGCCAGACATGGCGCTATGCAGCACGGATGTAGAGCTGCACACTCCGGTCTAGGCACTCTTGCGCAATAGTTGCATAAACAGGGGAAATCCAATCACTCGCTTTGCGCGCTTCAGTGCTCGCACGGACACGCCTGCTTGGTGCACGGAGAAAGCACATACAGAGCAAGCATGTACTAGTATGTGCTTCCACTGAACATCACAAAACCAGAGTCTGCATGACTTCTCTGATCCCCAATGCACATTCGACTCACGCAGCAGCACAACAAAAGGCCAAGGTTAGCTAGCAGTGGTCATGGATATAATCGTTAAAGCCAATGACGGCATGCCTGGTGGATGAAGCTGAACTGGTCAGCCCTACTTTCTCGGGAAGTGGCGAAAGGTACAATCATGTAGATACGGGTCTGCACTGAGCGCAGGTCTCTAATTCTCTACAGCATGCAGTCAAATTAATGGTGTGTGGCATGACCTTTTGTGCAGGGCTATAACTACACTACTCACATGCGAACCGCTGCATGCATGAACCTAGCTACACACATTATCACAGAAGTATATAAAATTTGATTGATATAGGACAAAATTAATAACAAATAGTCAAGGGAAATTTTCAAAAGGAACACACACGCGCACACAATGACAGTTCATACCTAAGATGTGGGCTCCTGAGCACCTACTCCACTGGGGTCACACTGCAATAGTCTGACGATGGACGGGTCACTCTTGGCTCCCTCAATGAATTCAGGGAGTGAAAGTTTCCCATCAGCATTTCGGTCCATCTGGCGGAAAATTTTATCGGTACGCTTCTCTGGCGTGCTCTCATCTTCAGGCATCTTCATCACTGTGCCGACCATTTTGTAGATGGCCTGGACAATCTCTAACATCTCGCTGCGTGAGATGTAACCATTGCCATCCAGATCGTACATGCTGAATGCCCATTTCAATTTGTTCTCCAGGGCTCCTCTCGATGTCACCGACAGGGCGATGATGAATTCCCTGAAATCTATCGTCGCATCATTGTTGGCATCAAATGTTCTGAACACATGCTCCGCAAACTTGGACGCATCCCCATACGGAAAGAAATTGCCGTAGATTTTCTTGAACTCTTCCACCGTAAGATGGCCGGATGGGCAGTCTTGTAAGAAACCCTTGTACCACTCCTGTAGCTCACGGTCACTGAAATCAGTGTTGGTGCGCAGGTCCTCAAGCACCTCTGGCTTCAGTTTGCTGTTCTGCTTCCCCATTGTGATCCAGAACTACACAAGTGGTCCAGGTGGCTCTGCAGCCGAATCCGGTAGTGACGAAACGTCCTCTACAACAAGGCAACACGAGAGTCGTTTGTCAGTGTTTCGCATGGACACATCATTATCAAAGTCTCAACAGTTCCGCTTGGGTATGCATGTTCTTGCCATCTTGGTCAACATGTGCAAGCTGGGGCAGGTGCCAGGTGGTGGTGGGCTCGTGTCCCCGTCCCCAAATAAAAGTCGTGATCGCGAGTTGTGTCGTCCGGCTGAAGTGGGGCGGCTAGCAAGCTGTTGACGTGTTGTGTCGGTAGCGCGTAGACGTACGTAGGTGCATTTCCTTGTAATTGTGCGTACCGATATCGACAGTCGAAGTGCGCGGACTACGCAGACAAAACTTCAAAAGTCTGCAGCGTGCAGAACGGTGGCGCCACTACGTACATCTGCTTGCCTTGGTTGCGGAGCTGACAACGACTGAACGAGCCTCGTAGACACAGAAAAATCCGGCCCTGCTAGCGCCTACTATACTGTCTTTACTGTAGCGCCTAGAGTGTGGCCAGTAGTGACTATTAATATTATAGTGTCACGTGAGCTTTGCTGGGAGAGGAGATACTCAGATAGAGGAGGAGACTGTTTGGTGCTTCCGACCGACGGTCGACCCAGATCAATGATCATGGGGTAGCAGGAGAGAGGGGGGGGGGGGGGTCCGACCATGTACCCAGGCGCCAGGCTAGGCCAGGCCCAGGGCCTAGGGCCAGTAATATTAGAGGTATATTATGCTCGGCAGGCCGCGAAAGAGAGCCCGTTACCTGGACCCCTACTCGCGCGGGTAGAGCGAAACTGAGCACCCTGGGATGCGAGCAGCTTTTGAGTACTCCCGGGTCCAAAATCTCACCACCAGGCCGGGATGATCAAAACGTCTGCCGGGTCTGCAGCCTACAAACGTGGATCTGCCGACACTGTGCTGTCGACGACATGTCCGGCAAGGCACCTCCTTGCGTGAAAGCAAGGAACGCTTTTTTTTAGAAAGGAAGCTTCTTCTCCAAAATTTAAAAAATTTTGAAAATTATTCCTTCTGAAAATATCATCGCGTTCTTGACCTCGAAGCTGACTGCTGAATGCGATTAGGAAAGAAGATTCCTGAAGATACACCAGACTGATTCTGGCAAGCCGTCTGTCGTCTAGATATGCAGTTGTTCGTCATGCATGGTCAGCAATCTTCCTCGTTCGTCCTTTCGTTTTCCTGACCACGATGATGACAAGCAGCTCTCATGCTCAGGTTAGTGCTGTACTTGTATGTCTGGGCACACAACACATCTGAGATTCACCCACTGACGTTATCGAACTGAAGAATGCAGCAAGGGTTCCTCGGATTCTCTTGATTTCGGAACAAATTTCCTTCACTTTCACCCTCTCAGTCTCTTCCCCATGCCCTCCATGCATGCACAATGCAGCTTGCATTTCAATTGCTGTTTTTTATACTTTGGCAGTGCCTCTGCTACACTTTCATATAGAGTGAGGTCCTGTAAATAGGATCGAACATTGTTGCTGGTGGTGTGTGTGTGTGGGGGGGGGGGGGGGTACGTTTGCAGCCAGGATGTAGAAATGACACTTCTGCACAGCAGGTGGCAATAGTCAAAACTGGTCACTCTACAAATCCCATACCTGCCAACCTTTGCAAACCTGAGATCCAATGACATACCTAGGCATGAAAATGTATACAAAAGAAGCTCGCGGTGAGGCATGGAACTAGTGCACTTTTGGGTGCCTATTACCGCCCTCGATATCGGGACGGTCCCGGCCAAATCGGGATGGTTGTCAGGTATGAAATCCCAACCGAGAAAACCATTTAATTAAAAGATAAACTCGGCCAGGACATAGCGACTTTCTGTTTGCCGGGGGGGGGGGGGGTCATCGTCCGCAATATTGGTAGAGTTACGGTTACATTGTATATGTAGATACATGTGCATCAGGGATTCATAGCACCTGGGGAGACGACATGAGACCTAAGTACCCAAAACGTTGTGAGTTGTGACCCCGGGTGGGGTAGTTCTACGTGATCTGTGTTTCTATAGACCTTATTCGATAACGTGATTTTTGGACTCGCCTCCAGGGATTTGTTGTAAGCTGGGGCACGCGTACGTGAAACGAGTGGCAAGAAAGGCCCAGTTCGTACAAGGGAGTAGTAAAATACCGGTATTTTTCTACTCCTATGTTCCCACGCCGAGTCCACTGTGCACTGAGTGCAGGTCTCTTGCCGCTCCCTGGTTCCCGGGACCCTGGTTCACGTGATTGTGACGTTTATTGAATAAGGTCTACATGTATATGCGGGCATGCATAAATCAACCCTTCCACAAGGACGGCTCAAACAGGCAGCCAAGGAGTGAAAATTTCGCTCCTGGGGCTAGGAGTGAAACGAAGGCCTCAATTTGCCAGATGAACCTTCTCCATCGAAACGAACGAAGGTGTCAAATAATTCTTTTACCAGTTCACAGTTGCCGTTCACGCGCACTCCCCGGGGTGGGGGGGGGGGGGGGGGCTACTATGCACTTGTAGTGATACTTACCGTAAGCCAAGTGGAACACGACTAGTTGACTGCACAGACTACAGTACAGTATACATGCACATGTATACAGTGAAGATCAGTGCGTGCATGCCTGCCATAATCGTATGTTGACCTTCGTTCGAATTGAAAAGAGAGGGTCGTTTCGAAAAAGAAAAAAAGCTCGATGGAAGTATGATGCTGCTGACAATTCAAGACTCACTGAAGTCGCCTTTCTGGAATGGATCATGCACTCTAGGTTCATCCAATTAGATATGGACTCAAATCATTGTTACACCATTATTGTTTGGTTAGTTATTGTACATCCCATAGCATGTACAATCAACCTTGTGAATAATCTACCTCGGGTTTACAAAACAACTCGCAAATAACGACACAATCTTCAGATCTAGTGAACATTTGATTGCATACTTCCAACCTCACGAGTAACAACAATGCGAATAGCGACACTTTTCTCATTCACAATCGAGGGTCAGTATTCCCCAGGTTGACTGCAATTGCCAATCAAACAGGAGGGGCGAAAGTCGACCACGGCTGAAAAGGCATAAAGAAAAATTAATGTATATCATGAGCTAGATGGCTGAAGGAGGAAGTAGGTTTTCTGAGAAAGCAAGAAACAGAGGTGAATGAAGCACCAGGTCTGTCCATGCAGTGGATAGAATTATTGCATTGAAAGACAGGCTCTTTACATCAGCTTGCTACTATTATACCTACATTTGCTTTCTGCCTTTTTCATGCAGGATTCTGAAAGCTGGAGCAGCTCTGCTTACCTCGACCACTGAACTTACAACTAACTTCCAACCAAGTACAAGGCAATATTATGATGAATCAAGCACGCTTGCCATCATGTCATCATTGCAAAGTACATCGACAGCATAGATTTGGTGCCGACTATGTATGATGTAGAGTGTGCTCTATGTATCTATACTACTGATTGGCCTACATTGTACTTATGTGGGCTGAGAGTAATCGATTGTGCTATATGGCAGTTTACTTGTATGTCATAGATGTTAACATTGCACACAGCTTCTGAAATGCTTTCTGTTGCACTGGCCTACTGCGGCCCTCTGCAAATAGATTGTAGTGGCATGGGCCATGCCATAATTATAGTAGTATACCGGTACTACACCAACAATTTCACTGGTGCACTGTACTTACTGGTACGAGTAGATCTACATCATGCACAGCCTTGTCACTGCTTTTCTCATTTTTTATTAATTTACTGTACTGTGCACATTTTGGCACAGCTCTTCCACAAAGAGTTACTATTCTTTTCTTCTGCATACCTACTGTATACAGTGACCTGACTGGTAACATCTATGGCTGTGAAATCACAAATTTCTGGGTTGACAGCCTCGAACCTATACGATTTGTTTCTAAGAACGTGCTATAAGAAATTTTCTATTGAAGTATTCTACTGTAGCTCGCAGGACATGGAGTGCAATTACGTAAAGTTTGGAACACCACTCTTCTGTGATTTGGATGTCAAATTATGAAATTCAGTGTGTGAGGTAAACCCATGCATGGCATACACTGCTATAGTATGACTCGGGGTAAAGTGTTCCAACGCATACTCATTATAGTGAATAGTTGTGTGACCAACGTTGTTGCTGCTGGATAAATAGTACATATTCTGAGATAACTGAAGCTACACAGCCATCTAATGTTCAGACATGCATCGAAGGGGCCGTAACGAGATCTGCAAGGCATGATTCTATACCGGTATTTGATGCTCTCTAGCCTAGGACATTCACCTGCCTCATTTTCTCTGTGCTGCATTGATGAGTCCATTAGTAACTAAAGGACGAAACAGCATGCTGTCTGCAGATTGGTAATTGTGTAAAGACAGACGTGTATGTAGTGGTAAAGCTCAGATACATGTGCAACATAACAATCCCGGTGTTTGACAACAGCACAAACCTACACCGCAATTCTTAATTTTGGGCTGTGGTGTTCTTAGTATTCCAGGTTGGATGTTCTGTAGGCTTCCACGCGTTCTTGGGCGCACGACTTTACTGTGCCGAAGAATATTTTCAGCCAATGAACCCAGAGCTTGGTGGCAGATGAGTGCCATGGAACAGCCTTTTGCATGTGGCTTTCCATGCACATGTATAACGTTCAATTGATGCGGAAAAATCAGACGAGGACTTTTGCAGTTATGAGCAAGGTCCCCACGAATGGTCATGTCACTTCACAGAATACATGAACTGATAGAGTAGACCTCGGTCTCCTCAGAGAACGCTTGGGGAAGTCGGGTTCAACCATAGATTTATACTTAACAGAGAACGCTTGGGGAAGTAGGTTTCAACCATAGATTTATACTTAATATTCTTTACAACAAGGATCGATGTGTTCCTTCGGATGCCCTTTATCGACTTTCACACACTTCTCCTCTCTCCTTTCGTCATAAGCACCATCTCTGTACACTGGTTCATAAAATATTTCTTCATAAAACCCCTTCACACATAATGAAGTACAATTGGTTTTCGACAAGCTCAACCCGTAACGCGCTTATCCTGCCTCTTGTTAAGTCAGCCCGGTATCTAAAGCCCCCCTTGTTTTCCGGTTATTCTCATTGGTTAACTGGGGACATGTCCAAAACCATACTAAGTACTTGAGCTGCTCATGAGCCCCACAATTATCAGGCCCGCCGGTCTGGTTGGTCAGGTTATCACCAGACCAACCTGTTGGCCACCAACAAACGTTTCCTACCGTGGAGGGCGTGTGTACCCGCCGTGAAACTACCGGACCAATCAAAAACTGCTTCCGGCGGTACTGATTATAGTACAGGTTTAAGTTAAAAAGCGGCTCCATTTGTCATACATTAAACCAACTCTGTCATTGCTATGCTACTCAAAAAGAGTAGTGATGTTTATTCACAAATGAATCACAATGCTATCAGAGAAATTCGATATTCTCCAATTTTAGGGGCACTGCAATACTATCCAAAATTAATGCTGCACGGTCATTGTTATGAAGCAGTCACCTCAGTACAGCAATTAAACAGGCTGATTATGTGAACGAGATTCACGGCAAATCTTCTTCCATCAGTGCTGTTCAGTCTTGAGTGGTCCACTGAGACAGGAAAACAACCTGTTCGGTCCTTCCATACGAGAAACAGAAATTGAACATGTTTCAGGGTGGAGGTGGCGAGTATCGGCAATGTAATGCACCTTTAGGCCAACATGACCATCATTCCGACATGGATTCTCAAACACCTTCGCTCGTGAGAGTGCCTCAGAGTCGTATTCATCAACAGATGGCAATCCTGTAAAACACATGAAAAGACATAGCAGCAACAGAAAGAAACCTAATGTTATAGAAACGAATTCGAAAAACAAAGTCTACTATTATTCTAATACAGTGAACCAAGGTACAACCACACTCCAGGAGGCAAGCAAAAGAGCATATAATCCGAAGGTTGCGATGCCTGTATGTATTGTATTTATGTATTTACGGATTCTCCACAGGCTAAATCGAGGGAGTCTTTGTCATGCCACACTGGATACAACATGCTACCAGAATCACTTTCCCCAGAATTGATGATCTTTTCTTAGGGTGTTATATAAGACACATCTGTAGCCACTTCATCTTGCTCACGAAATCATACACCACCACACAAACGGGTCCTTCGGCTATTATACTTTGGGTGGTACATGGTGATGTATGATATTGATAATCTATTGATACCATATTCAAGTCTGACTCTCACCGTGAGATCCTGGCAACAATATTACCTGGTACACGACATATTCAGACACTGACATAAGCATCTTTTTGGAACAACAGGTGTGCCTATCTGCTAGTGTAATGTGACACACATGCAGAACACATGCAGAATCAGTCATAGCTAATTTTACCCCCTCACTGTTGTATGCGCAGACTCCACTTCGCGGTGTCAAGTACTCTTCTTTCGGTGGGCTACTCCACTAAGGCGCTTGTCTAAAAGGACTCACATTCATCCTGCAAACCAACACGACTTGCATAGTTTTCACTGTCGGCCAAAGTGCGTGCATTGCACACATTGAGATTCACTCCCTCCGTACAGGCCAGTACAGAGCTGCCCACCAATTGAGTCTGTTTTGCGTACTCAGACTTCTGATTTTCCGTATCTTGCAGTGTTTTGCGTACTGCCGTGTACATTGCATGCATACTTGCACTGTAATGTTTTTTGACACGCACATGCATGTCGGTGGCTGCATTTGGTAGTGTAAAACATGTGTGACTTGCACTCACGACATTATTATTTTTGTGCTACATGTACATGTTGTTGTGGTACGGCATGCACTCACTTTGGTACAAGACTATTCATCACTCAGCTTACACTTGCAATGCTTCTACACAGCTGATTGATCCTCTCCGATTTTCTATACCATTTGCTCAATTTCTGTAGTGCGCACAAGGAGTGATTTTCCGTACAAATACAGAAAATATGGAGGGCTGGTACTTGGTAGCACTGCTAGTATGGTAGTACCAGGCTAAGCTGGCTGGAAGATCAAATACTTCTTTGGTTCTTTCAGTCATTTTCACGACATATGTTTTCTTTATCATGATCCCCGGGGTGTGACATTCTTATGAATGCAGAAACTCAGTCTTTCTAACCGAGTCTCACGTGCAATGTGAATTTGTTCTTCTTTTCTTCACAATGCCATGTATCGATTCATCGCTTCTTCCCACCCGAGATCCTATGCAACAGCGATTTAAAGATTGGCTTTATCAAATAGTTAATTCAGAGAGAGAGGATCAGTTGTGGATGCTGTGACAGCATAGAGTGTAGATTGGTGTAAACATCATTGCCCAGCAGAGCCGTATTCACAGGGATCTGCGTTTAGCATATGGAAGCTATTTTTTTAGAATTTTTACACGTCCAATAAGCCTGAAGAGAAGAACACCTAACTTAGACTGTCCTAACGTTATCGAACGCACTGCCAAAGTAAAAACAACATTTGAAATGCAAACTCGATTGTGCATGCATGGAGGGCATGGGGAAGAGACTGAGAGGGTGAAAGTGAAGGAAATTTGTTCCGAAATCAAGAGAATCCGAGGAACCCTTGCTGCATTCTTCAGTTCGATAACGTCAGTGGGTGAATCTCAGATGTGTTGTGTGCCCAGACATACAAGTACAGCACTAACCTGAGCATGAGAGCTGCTTGTCATCATCGTGGTCAGGAAAACGAAAGGACGAACGAGGAAGATTGCTGACCATGCATGACGAACAACTGCATATCTAGACGACAGACGGCTTGCCAGAATCAGTCTGGTGTATCTTCAGGAATCTTCTTTCCTAATCGCATTCAGCAGTCAGCTTCGAGGTCAAGAACGCGATGATATTTTCAGAAGGAATAATTTTCAAAAATTTTAAATTTTGGAGAAGAAGCTTCCTTTCTAAAAAAAAAAGCGTTCCTTGCTTTCACGCAAGGAGGTGCCTTGCCGGACATGTCGTCGACAGCACAGTGTCGGCAGATCCACGTTTGTAGGCTGCAGACCCGGCAGACGTTTTGATCATCCCGGCCTGGTGGTGAGATTTTGGACCCGGGAGTACTCAAAAGCTGCTCGCATCCCAGGGTGCTCAGTTTCGCTCTACCCGCGCGAGTAGGGGTCCAGGTAACGGGCTCTCTTTCGCGGCCTGCGGAGCATAATATACCTCAATATTAAGGCAGTATCTTGCCGTCGCACGTGTGCTGTGACGTGACGTCATGACGTATCACCTACCTGTCATGTGACTATAAAGTATAATCTGCATCTGACATGTAAATCATTTTTCAGTGATCAGGGATTATCATTTTTTGGATGAATCATTGAATGAAAGCTGTTGTATGTGTGTTTATGTTTGTAAATAATTGTAGAATTCCAGAAGTAGATTCCCAATCTATCTGCGGATAGATTCTGTAGTTTTCAGACGTAGTCTGTGCAGTTAGTTGCTCGCCGTCTTTTCTTTATTGGTTCGGCGGGCTTCAGTTCGCTTTAGGTTAGGCGAGGGTTGTGCAAGCACCAGCAGAGTGTCATCTATGCCACCTCATCCTGTGTTACAGCAGCGGTTGCAGAGTTGTGCGGATATGTCACCACTTTGGGTTTTCGGTTACGGTTCTTTGGTTTGGAAAGCTGACTTTCCCCACTCCGACAAGAAAGTTGGACACATCTGTGGATTCATGAGAAGATTCTGGCAAGCCAGCACGGATCACAGAGGCGTTCCTGGAGCGGTATGTTGACGTAGTTAGGAAAGTCCTATCACCGTAGAAGTAAAAAAAATACTACAAGTATTTTCAGAATGTTTTGTACTTTTCTAAGCACTCGTTTGTACTACAGTATTTAAAAAGTGACGAAAACCTTGCAGTTCGATCGACCTCAACTATTACTTGCCAGGCTGGAAGCAAAGATTTAGGAATACCAGCGTGCTTTTTATGTAACATTGAATGCACAGTGTACCTAATATAAAATTTAATGTCCAAGCACAAGAAAAGAACGAAGATGCTGGAGTCTCCCAAAAAAATGGAACATTATTATTACTAGCCAGGAGCGGAGACACCCAATGTCACTGTACGGTGTGTTTTCTCAACATAAAACGCAGCGTAACCAGGGTTCTAGCCAAAGGGGTTAGGGGGGGGGGGGGGGCAGCGCCCCCTACTCTGTTTGCCCCCCTCCCCCCTGTGAAAAAGTGCCGCCCTCTACTTCTTTCCGATTTTTGTGTTTTCATGCCATTTAACGAAAATGCAGTCGAAAGTCAGTACAAGAAGGTTCATAAAGGCGCATTTCTGGTGTTAACTCAGGTGTTCGCCGTACGGACGTTGCATTTCGCATTGCAAGAAAGTTATTTTGAAAATTGAAAAATGGGTTGCGGGGTAACTGTTAGCCCTGCCCTCCCCTCCCCCCCCCCCCCCCCCTACCATTTTGACCTGCCTAGATTAACCCTGGTTGCAGAGAAAGAGTTTTGATCAGCATTGCTTTGCAGCATGCACTCCGCGCTCTGCCCTGGGACATCTAAGCCCTAGATCATCGTTTGCAGCGTGAAGCACGCACATGCACGCTTGTGTAGATACATGTCATGTGATAAATTACCCGTTAGGTCTTTAGGACACAGTTGTTCTGAAGTATAGTCAGTTGCTCGTTCTGGATGGGTTCTGTCCAGGCCAGATAATGGAAGTTTGGGTGTAAAGTTGAACCTCGCCTCTACTCGACTATCTACGTTCTACTCCACTATCCAACTTAGAATCCAGTGGGTTCTTGGCCACATACTGACATACCGTATTATCTCCATTATAAGCCCTGGGCTTATATTTTTTCAACCAGTCCTGACCCTGGGCTTATATTGGAGACTGGGCTTCTGCTAGAGACTGGGCTTATAATTTGTCAACCATCTGGTACAAGTATTTTTTTCTTACACTTTGAAGTACCAGCAGCACACAATTTCCCACCAGGTACCGTGAATGCGGTTTTGCACTTCCTGGTACACTGAGTCTGTACATTTTTATCTCGGGATCACAGACTTGCGCCATAACACCTGTGTATGTGATCCTGTGGACGTCAAACATGCATGGACATGATCCATACAGTTCTCCATTATCAGCCCTGCGCTTATATTGGAGACTGCGCTTGTGTATCTTCGAAGCTCTTGGAGTGCGCTTATAGTAGAGACTGGACTTCTACAAGAGACTGCGCTTGTGATGGAGATAATACGGTAGTCTGTGCGAACAATAACCTATTCTCTCTGTGCCTGTCTCTCTCGCGCACGAATCGCGGGAATCGTCTACCGCGGCAAAGGAGGATGTTCAATAGCTTTTGCGCTTCGCCTCGCATTAGCAGTTTACATAACATTGGTGATTGCGTGTCTCTCCCAGCGCGAGGTTGTCGTTTTTGTTGATCACTGTAATAGGATGGCAGTATGGCGTTCTGTAGACCCACTGCGTGTATTTGTACACTGTTGATTCCGTGAAGTTGCACGTCAACATGTGATTCTCTTTGGTGTGACACACAAAGGTGCTTGTTCCTGTTGGGCTGTGGCACATAGGGCTAACATTATCGTGTTATGACTTGGGTGTTGAGCCAATTGTAATTTAAGTAAAGAGAAAGGACCAATAAGTTACGAGTTATGACTAACAGTCCACCAAGGTAACGAGATATTAATATTATACAGATACATGTATTCTGTGCCTTGTTTTCGCACTCTCTAACTGTATAATATCTCGTTACCTTGGTGGACTGTTGCTAGTCATAACTCGCGGCTTATTATCATGTTATTTTTGTTTTGTTGTTCCCTTTGATTTGTTCAGCCCGGACGTGTCGTCACGTTGCTACCCTCTGATCAGGTAAGCGACAGTGAAGGCTGCTGTGATTCTGCTTGTCATGTTCGCCTGCATGTACCCGTAACGTTATCTGCGGTGTCTCGTAGATATGAGCTTTTATCCTCGCCAATGCAATGCCATGTTTTGATGGGCAAATATTAACACGTCGTTGGGCTTGCTAGTAGGCAAGAAATGTTTTGACTTTTGAGGCTTCTGTCAGTTTGATTCCAAGTACAAGCCGGACCAGGCGGACTGGGTGTGTCCACCTGATTCGTCTTGTAGTTGGGCTTGTCGGTGTATTGTTCTGTCGTGTTGTGACTGCTGGTGCGCCTGTGCTGTGCGCGCAGACGTGTTGCTGAATTCCGAGAACAATGTGTGCGGCATGGATGCTTCTGCCTATGTAGATAATGAAGGTGTTTGATGTGTTAGGGGTGGTGCATGTATGTAGTATGTGTACGATATTGGACTGGTGTCAGTAATGCTCTCCTCTTTCCTGCGTTCTTTGCCCAACATAGGAAACGACTTGGGGTGTTGCTTACAAAGTTGAACCAGAAGATGCAGAAGAGGTCATGTCTTATCTAAACTTCCGTGAAAAGAATGGGTATGACAAGTACAAGGTTCCCTTTTATCCACTGGGTGAAGAAACCAGCTCAATGGATGTCCTTGTATTTGTAGCAACTCCTGACAATGAGCATTTTCTTGGAGCAGAGCCCCTCTGCAGTATGGCGCAGCAAATAGCAACATCCGTTGGCCCCAGCGGTGCTAACACTGAGTATCTGTTTCGCTTGGCTGATGCAATGCGAGAGCTGTGCCCTACTGTGCAGGACGATCACTTATTTGAACTAGAGCGCGCCGTCCGCAGCATCCTCGCTGCGCCGCCTAGCTAGCCACGCACATCTCCGTCATGGGCAGCTGCCTGTCCTCAAGTCCTGTGAAACCTCAACGCAAGGTTACTGGTAGTGTAGTGGCATATGTGCTCCACTAGCACCTTGACTGATACCTGTGCCTGAATCCACCCATCAGATCGAGTATGCTTTTATTTTATTTTATTGAGCGCTGAACTAGAAATCAAAGCATGTCTACAATCCCTATATTATACGGTTATCTCATCCTCTTGGACCATATTTATTTGCCATATTCAAGATGAAAGCAGACTTATGTAGATCGCTACTGCTGGCTTGACAATCAAGGGTGTCAAGTGTCGAAACTCTATTTTCAATACCCTAATAAACATGGAACCCGCAGCAATTATTTTCACACTACGCCTTCCCACATTGCTGTTCTCGCACCGATTGGTCGAGCCGATGTGGTGCTCTATATTTATATTCCGGCATGAGTTAGTTGCCTGTCCGTCGTGCGCCTATTGCTGATATGGACCCTCTGGTCTTAAGTGATTGTTCTGAAGACTGCTGTATTTTGATGTTGGCTTTTGGCCGGGCTTCCACTGTGCCACGTGTGTGCTTTCTAGGGAGATGCTTTCACACGCGCGTTGCATCCTCAGCCCGTTCTTATATTTTCTACTCTTTTAACTTAACCTTGCTGCCTCGTTGCCTTGCTCATACCCTCTTGCTTCTCTTCTATTTTAGCTAGTAGTGCATCTGGTGCACTGAGCAGAATAATGATTGTTCTAACTACATGTATTGCCAAGAGTTCATAACCCCCAATATGAACTCTTGGTATTAGGGAGGTTTAGTCCCACGTAATCCGTGGGTACTTTACGTGGGTGCACCACGTGATACTCAGTGACCCACGTACAGCAGACGTTTTCTGATTCACGACATACCGTGTATGGAGGCTCACCCACGTTCCGCCAGAACGTGGGTGAAAATCAGAATGGAGCGCATTGTGCGAGCTGTGAGGGTGCTCAGCTGAATAAGTTTCCGAAGCACGAAATCAAAATATTGGATGAGTTTCTTAGGCCGGGGTAGCTTCGTCTTTGACCAGGTTTTGGCCTTTCGCTTCATGCTTTTGTTTGTTCCGTGTGACTAAACACAACATTGCAACGTGGGTGCCCTTCATCCACTGGCCACTTTACGTTACGTGGATCACCCACAAGTCTACGCGTTTCCGTTACGTGGGAACTAAACCTCCCTAGTGCCAAGAGGGCTATACGTACCCGTACCCTCGTACCCATGCCCTGACGTCATGACTACTAGTGCGCAAACATTAAAAAATGTTTCCACTGAAAATTACTACTTTCCCGCCAGCTTGCACTTGTTTGAACATGTTCAAAATCCATATTTCCGAAGACAAAATCAAAACAAGCACAGACAGTGCAGCGCATACTAGTCATAGACCAGCAAGCACTGCGGCCTGGCCTGTTTTGTATTCAGAAATCATCTGTGCGGAATGGTGTGAGGAAAGGCGGACACAGAGTTCTGGCAAGATGCAGGCTTTGCCGTCATGCAAGTATGGTGCTAATTGTTACCGGAAAAACCCTGCTCACCTAGCGCAGTTCTCTCATCCTGGCACTCCACTCGCAAAGGTACGTTGAGCTCTGCTGGCCAACTCTGCTACGCTATGCAACAACTGTGTTGACTAGCTTGAAGGGAAGAATACGAGCCAGGGGTAAATTTACTGTGCACCAATAATTCGTACAACAGACACCAGAAGTTGAACGCAACGTTCTACATGAAGCAATTGCTGGAAACTCGCCAAAAACCCCAAACCCAAACAATGAATGTGATTTTTAAATTTACTAAGTTAACATCATTTATTTGGCTGCAATAGCTGTCTCTGCAGCAACAATAGAACAAGAATATGAAACAGGGACACAGGCAGGAAACGGGAATCGTGCGCAAGCGCTTGCGTGCACACACACACACATCATATCATCATGTGCCTATAGATTAGCGCAAGCCCTGAGACGATAGTGAAAAGAAAACATACAACATGTAGTAGTGGGCAGGTGCTACTGGTTGTTGAGAATACTGCGAATGCGTGTTCTGCTTCTCATGTTGCCTGCTGACCCCAAGCGCGGCCAAGACAAGCGATGCCATAGTTACTAATATGATGCAAGCGTGTATAAATCGACCCTGCCCCAAAGGCGACGGTAACAGGCGGCCCTGGGTGGAAGCTCACTTGGTTTAGCATTACAGTTGCCCGTGGCGTCTCACTACAGATTGGTTTCACATGCATCACATGATCATACGGGGTAGCCATATTGGCTCCAACTCCACTCAGTGTCCACTGTCATTGCTAGTCAGCCCCCTCATCTACGGGTCACATGATGTCGGCCATGTTGGTTCCACTGTCCACATGCCATGGTCACTTTCTGCACAAATTTAGTCCCATGACAAAGATGTGAAACCACTCTAAATGCTAGGACTCCCTGCAAGAGTACCGGTATATAACCCCCCAAGAGTGTGCAACTCTGCATATGGGGTCTCCGACGGCGAAAACTCACATCACGTGTCTCAATCACGTTTGTACTACGTACAAACGAAGGATAGCGTGCGCGCAACCCGAATATCTGCCATGATCATGCTGGGGATTTGCATACCAGCAGTGAGTTTCTGTCAGAGAGTGCTTTTTTTATTACTCCGCTGCTCGCTAAAAACGGGCTGGAAACGTACAACTGCGACACTGCACCACTTGATGTAAGTTTTCGCCGTCGGCGTACGCCATAGAAAGGGTATCAGGAGTTGCACACTCTTGGGGGGTTATTATACTCTTGCTCCCTGGTGTAGATATACTCCCTCTCACCTTTCTGCAATGTACATGCAGTGCATGTCTATTGTGTGCCTTTCTGCAATACACATGCAGTACATGTCTACAGTCAGCTTTGCGTATAACGACACTCGGCGGAGCATCAGAAGTGTCCATATACCCGAAGTCTCATTATATGTACTCGGATGGAGAGCCAAGGATTAATTTATAGAAGAAAAAACTGGTGGTGTTAGTGGAAATTATAGCGTAGCTTGTAGTTCCTTGGTCCCTTTTTTCTCATTGTATGTATCACAGTTAGACGGGACTTTGCTCTGGGCATGGAAATTCGGTCGTTATTCGCGAATTGTCGCTATATCCGCAGTCATTATTAGCCAAGTTGACTGTATTGTGTGCCTTTCTGCAATACACATGCAGTACAAGTACATGTCTATTGTGTGTTGGTGTGCACCTCGGAGATGGGGCTGATGTTACCTGTACATCATGTATGACTTGTGTTCATCTTTTGCCATCAGGGTGATAGCCAGGACAGTGGCAATGACGAGCCTGCGGCCAAGAGACCCCGTCCGTCACCATGCCCTGCCTCACCCACTTCAGTGACAGCTACTGCAGGTACGGCTTTGGCTTTGGATGTGGCGCCCAGTGGACGAGTTTAGATTGCCGTGCTGCAAAGTTGTGCAAACACAGTCCGTTGAAATGTTTCGGTACAGACCATCAAGCGCAACGTTGATTGTTTGCAGTAGTGTTGTATGCTGTCTACTGACTCTGTGTGTGTGTGTGCGTGTGCGTGTGTGTATGCGTGTGTGTGCGTGTGTGTGTGTGTGCGTGTGTGTGTGTGTGTCTGTGTGTGTGTGTGTGTGTGTGTGTGCATGCGTGTGTGTGCTCACGTTATCATGGACCTTGCGTGTCTGCGCTGTGCATGCGTGTATGCACACATGTCGGGGATCATGTTCAGCATCATCTCGTACCGCTGGTGGCAACACTGAACAGGCAGGCTCGCAGGTAGATAGTGCTGTTGCTACAGCAGCATCCAGTCAGGCCTCTACATCACCGGCAGCATCTCCCGCTCCTTCCAATGATGATGGTGATTGTGAAAGCATCGACTTGACACAATGCCCTGCATATGTTACTGGCGACGAAACATCCCGCGAGGCAACTGCGGATTGGCTTCGAGAAGCGTATGGTGTTCCTTTCCCCGCGGATTTTTTTTGCTTGTGGGACTTCTGCTATGGACAGTGTCCCGCGTCACCAAAAGGTACTGGTGCGATTGCTAGTACTGTTCGTTGTTTTTATTACCTTTTTTTCCTTCTCCATGCCGTTTCACATTCTTGCACAGTAGTAACAGTGAAAGTCGCATGTAAGAGTAAGAGGTGTGGGTGGGGGGTCGTAATATTTTGCCGTCTGGCTCTGTGCTGTGATCTCTCGCAGAGAAAACTGTGGTGTTCTGAGACAAAGCGGTGTGTGGCTCTGTGACTGCTCTCCGAGTATCTGTGACTGTATGGCTGGTCATGGAAAATTAGATGGTGACTGATCAAAGCTAGTTGTGACGGCTCACACGCAACCTAGTCACACGTACTTCGAAGTGCCTTGTGCTTACTGCAGTACATGTACATGTATACTGGTGCCATTTGATGTTAGTAATGGCTATGTTTGTGCTTATGCTGATTCTGTTCTGGCAGATGCTCTGAAGCCTCTCCTTGGTGTCAAGCTTATGGGACCGTATGATTTCCTTGCTGGCCTGTTTGCTGATGAATCCATCTTATCCGTGAAGTCAGTGCACCTCCACCATCGCTTTTACTTTGACCAGCCAGAGCTTCTCACCATCCTGGCTGAAGACAAGGAAGACGGTCAGCATCTGGGCTATTTCAGGTACAGTGCGGATCGGCTATAGGGTTGTCGGCTATAGTAATATACCTCTTATAGTGATCGTATTCTCAAATTCATTTTCGTAAACCACCCCTTTCTATACATATCAGATCGGCTATAGTAATATATCGGCTATAATGATACGATTTCTGTGTCAAAATGATCTTACTGCATACATTTTTCATCGGCTATAGTGATGATCATAAAAAAGTATACATCGTACATGGCGAGATCTAATCGCGGCAGCCAGGAAGCGCTGGTACGACTATGATATCCCTCGGAGAAAATTCGAAATGTTTGGCGTTGGCTGTGCTTGTTGTTTCGGGGCATCCTCGAGCGAGATTGGAGGCAGTAATGAGTACCAACGCTGAAGCGCTACCGTGGTCTCCGCCGAGATGTTGGAGAAGGCATTCAGGTAACAGCGAAGACGATCAGGGACGCGGAGAAGCTTCTCCGTGACATACGACATCACGAGTCGATCGACCTGCCACTTGGAACGGTTTGAGCGGTGATGAGTCGAGCGATGGCGACCCAGACTGAGACTCTACTCCCACTAATCGATCCTGTAGATATTGTTGATATGTCGATTGAATGTGTTGAAGTGTTTCTCTTCCAAAAGAACACATTCCTTGAAAACTCATGTCAAAAAGTCACAAAGTTTTTGCTTCCGCAGGAAGTAGCTCTGCCCCGCGCGTATTGCACAGTCACATGCACAGCACGCTTCTGCACGCTGCACTGATTCGAATGACACTGTACACGCATTTGTCAGGCATACCTAAGTATGCATATCGCCTATAGTAATATATCGCCTATAGTGATATTTTCACGAAAATCAAACACCAACGCTATAGCCGATCCGTACTGTACTAGTACTAGGCTAGCACACTGCTTATCTTTAGTCAGGCACAGCTGTTGCAAAGGAGGTTCAATGCTTGGATGAGTTATGCCATCAATCTGGGCTAGCAGAATGTGGACTTGCACTACATACACGACCCTGTCAGTGCCTGACATGATGTTGTGCAATGCATTGGATTACGGCAGTATTTTATGACTTCCTGGATCACAGTGCCACAGCGCAGCAGATTTCGAAGGCTACCTGCCAGGCCCGCAGTCAGTGTATATGTACAAGTACTTCAAACAAAGGATATACGCATACACTATGCACTATAGAGCAGCTGAGGTCAATGCGATCTGCAAGGAAACTCCACACTCTGGGTTAAAGTCTGTGTGATTCTAGATCCTAACATGGCCTGGCGTGGTCACTTGCACCTTTCTGCGCCCTTGGATACAGCTCAGAGCTGCTCTCTGCATGTGCACCACATCTCTTTCCTCGTTTCCCTGTGCCTTCTTGACCCTTGGCAACTTCTGTTTGCTCCAGGGATGACCCAAGCGATGCTCCGGCGTTTGTGGCACTCAGCAGTAACTGGTCGGATTGCACGCTGGCTCCTGTTGCCAACAATGCCTTGGCTGCAGTTGTGTAAGTGATCCTCTCGTGATGGCGCGGGCGTGAGATTCTTCCACTGTTCTGCTGTGACAACTTATCATGTCAAACCAAGAGAGATCTCTTGACGGTACTGTTCCTTTCCGTTGTTTAGGTTTATTGCAGACAAGCTCTTGGAGAGAGAGAAGAACAAAGCAAAAGTGAGTGAATTGAAAACTCTGCGTGACAACCTAACTGTATACGCAGCTCAGCACAACTGCCCTGTTTCGGTGAAGAACGTTGACCACCTACGTTCTAAGAAGATAGTGGGTAGGCCGCTGAACCGAATCGGTATTGTGGTACCGTATGACAAGGAGGAAGACGTTGGCTATCGCCCCCTTCCAATGACGAATGGTGAGTGAATGACTATGAAAGCTCTCTCTCTTTCTCTCTCTCTCTCTCTCTCTCTCTCTCTCTCTCTCTCTCTGTCTGTCTGTCTGTCTCTCTCTCTCTCTCTCTCTCTCTCTTTCTCTGTCTCTCTCTCTCTTGCTCTCTCTCTCTTGCTCTCTCTCTCTTGCTCTCTCTCTCTCTCTCTCTCTCTCTCTCTCTCAAGCGCCTCTTGAAACATATGCTAGGCAATAAGTTCTTCGATGGTGACAACCAGAAAGGATTTATGCCTGCAAAGGCTGGGTGCTTAGAGCATACATCACTTTGTTATGAGGCGATGCGTGATGCAAAGACGGCAAAACGCCAAATTTGCATTGCGTGGATAGATTTGAAGAATGCATTTGGTTCAGTGCGCCACAATCTGATACAGTATGCTCTAACCCACTACAGCCTTCCTTTGCAATTCAGGAAATTAATTTTTTCCTACTACGACAGTCTTTGCGCTTTCGTCGTACAACCACACACACCCACCTTTAATTACAACATTGGTGTTTTCCAGGGGTGCCCCTTGTCCCCGGTCCTTTTCAATATTTGTTTCCAGCTTCTGCTGGACTCACTTGCAGCCCCTGAATTAAGTTGCCTCTCCTATGATTTTAAATCTGCCCCTTTGCAAGTGTCCCAAACAGCTTTTGCTGATGACTTAGGCCTCTATAGCAAATCTAGTGCAGGTTGTCAAAAACTCATTGCGGTCACGGAGGACTTTCTCTCGTGGACCCAATGTATGCAGGCGGCGCCGCACAAATGCAAAAGCAGTGCAGCAAAGCTTGTAGATGGCCGGTACAAACCTTACGATCCCTGCCTGACAATGTCAGGGAGGAAGATCGCTTTCATTGACACTGCAGAGTTCAAGTTCCTGGGGCGAAGGCTGCATGCTGATTGCTCTGAGCAGACCCAGCGGGAAGACATCCGTCAACTCACTGTATCTCTCATGCAAAAAGTAGATGGCTCTTGGCTTCAAGACCACCACAAGCTATGGCTTTACCACCATCTTGTAGTGCCCAAGCTTTCTTGGTCTTTCCAGGTTCTTGAACTCACACAAGGTTTTGTACGTGAACTGCACTTTATGTGTTTACCATTTCTGAAGAAATGGTCAGGCCTACCTCGATGCGCAAACTCTGCCATTCTTTTTATTGGCAGTCGCAAACGCTTTGGCTTACGCCTCCACTACCTTCCTACGGTGTGGAAAAAGTGCCAGTCCATCAAATGGCACATTCTTCGATCGAGTGGGGACGCGCGCATGAGGGCGCTGTACACTCTGCGTCGGAGTAAGGATGCGAAGCTGACAAAGCGATATGCGGCGACAATAGAGCTGGAGTGTGCAGAGGCATCAGTAGGTTCAGGGACTCTCCGTCCACCGTCATCTTCAAGTCATCGTGCAGGGTTGGGTGCTCGTGCTCCGAAGCAGCATTCCAAACCCCCAAGGAAGGATCTCCTTCAAACATTTGAGGAGATCAACGCGCAGGAGCAGATTTTGAGGCTGAAGACTCTTCAGGTGCAAGGCAAGTGGTTGGAGTGGACATCGGTGATGTGGCAGGACCTCTCGTGGAAATCCCTTTTGTACGGTGGTACTGGTAAGGATTTGAAATTTCTTCTCGCATCAACCCTCGACGTGCTACCTTCTCCGACGAACCTACGCCGTTGGGGAAACACCGTAGTGGATCCGTACTGTAGTTTGTGCCGTACCTGGGCCTGTACTACGCGCCACGTGCTTGGCGCTTGTCGCGTAGCGCTGGACCAGGGACGTTACACCTGCACCTGGAGGCACGACAACGTACTCGGGGTCATCGTCAGGAACATGCGTGAGGAGATTCGAATCCGCACTGCTGCAAACACCGTACAAACCGAAAATTCAAATGAGCTTGACTTCATCTCGTTTTGCAAGGCGGGAGAGAAGCCAGTTCGCGTTCAGCCCAGACGAAAGTTGGTTACGACTGATCTCCTGTCAGCGGCCTCAGACTGGAAACTTCTTGTCGACTCAGTTAGTGCAAAGATTTCTTTCCCTAGCTGTGTTGCACTTACCACCCTAAGACCAGATATAGTTCTGTACTCTACGAGTCGTAGGATTGTATTCTGGATGGAGTTGACAGTTTGTGCTGAGGACAGATTCAGTGTCAGTAACTCGCGGAAGGACAGGCGGTATGCGGATCTGGCCGATCAATGCCGAGCAAACGGGTGGCAGGTCGTTTCTTTTTCGGTTGAGGTAGGTGTGCGTGGTTTCATCCCGGACTCTCTTCGGAGGGCTCTGAAAGCGCTTGGATTTTCTAATCGAAGAATAAAATTTATTTGTAATTTGTGCAGTAAGACGTCTCTGCGAAGCAGCTACATCATCTGGTTGCGGCGTCAACAAAAACACTGGTCGGAAGATCCACTTTTCTGAGGTACTGTATGTGGGGCTCCGTTTATTGAGGTGCGTTGAAATTTATTCTCTTTATCTTATTATTTCTTTTCTATAATTTCCCCATATGAGTTCCTATCAGTTGCTGTGAACACCTTGAGTGGAGAGCGCTTGCTCGAGCGTTGAACCGGGTTCTTAATCCACCATACCCAGTTCGCAAGGCTGGGCGGGGTTGTGAGCAGGCTTTCATTTCATCTTTTCTTATTATTTCTTATTATTTCTGCTTTTCATCTCATTACAAAAATTCTGCGCTTTTTCTCCATCTGCGCATAAAATCTAGACTGACAACCTGCTTGTTAAATCATGCACCTGCTTTCAGGCGTAAAAACCCTGTTGTAGAGGTCTCAGTCCTCATTTGTTAGACTTACCTGTCTTTATAAATGTAACTTACTCTCTCTCTCTCTCTCTCGCTCGCTCTCTCTTTCTCTCTCTCTCTCTCTCTCTCTCTCTCTCTCTCTCTCTCTCTCTCTCTCTCTCTCTCTCGGATATAGCATTGGGTAACATTTGACATATTAGAGAGGTTCTGCATAACGTAATTACGTTCGTAAAAAACGTAGTCGATCTACGGAAAGTCTTACGTAAACTGCATGCGCATCTGTGTTCCGCCATACGGAGTTTTCAAATCACATTGCTGCCCTTGGCAACTCCGAATGCGGCAGTGTACGACCAGGTCGACCTGAGGAGAGAGTCATAAATTTGTACCCCAATCCACTTACGGACCAGCTACGTGATCACAGCCCTATCTACGTACTCTACGTAGACAACTAAAGTGGAGTGCAACTCGCGAATTCACGGGTTTTCACGCCCACTAACGTAAAGTTGCTCAACTTTACGTAGTGCGGAACCTCTCTATTATGTCATTTTCACGACAGTATCGGCTTGGCCAGGAGCAACCAGTGTGCATTATCAGTAGAATCCTACCCCTGTCATCTGCGCACTATTTGGGCAAGTAGCTTTAAATGTGTGTTCTGACACTTGATTACTCTGCATCGTTCTCACAATATGAATCACCCTTACATCCCTGTAGTGATGGCCGAATATTCTCTGTATTTCGGTGTGTGTGTGTGTGCGTGCGCTTGTGTTTGTATTGGCAGCCAGTGAGATAATTATACCTACATACAAAGGCATGTAGCATTAAAAGAGGGACGGGGGCAAGTGCTGTTCGGACACAATGGCTAGGTTGGTCACATTCCACAATGGGAATCACTGGGAATCATTCTTGCCCGTTTGTTTGGTCATTCCGTTAGGTTGGTCCCATTCCAGAATTGGAATCGCTGAGAATGATTCTTTTTGGAGAATGATCATTCCACCTCGTTTGCTGGAATGAGCATTCTCATCCCGGAATAAAAAATGATAATGGTTTCCATGAGCCAAACAATGTAGCAACAGGTTCAAGTGCCTCAAATCATGCACTCAGAAGTACCTTGACTCTCTCAAGGGAACTAGAGTCGGGTAAAAGAGAAGAGTGCCGCCGCTCCACAACGACATCATGGAATTGTGATGTCAAGTGATTCCTAGTTGATTCTGGCACGTTTGTTTGGTCAGGTGATTCTTACCAATTCCCATTCCAGAATGGTCATTTACATTCTGAAAATGCCCAACCAAACGCAAATGCATGTATCGGTAGACGGGTGTTTGTTCGAAGAAGAGGGTACGAGGGCGTGGAAAACTTACACATTTTCAGTATGAATAGTTACGATAGTACTCAATCTGCGGACAGAACTGTTTCGTCCTTTGTAGACTCATCAGCGCAGCACAGAGTTACAATAGTATCAATGTTCAGTTCACGACTTGCCGGAAAGCCCTGTGAGTCAGTCAACTGGCATTGCAACTAGTGGTGTGCACTGGTAGTCGGGTACCCGTGCTACCCGTGAGGACCTCGGGTAGACCGGTACAGAATAGTGCCCGAAAACCCGAAGTCGCAGATGACATCATGTACAGTGCACGTGTACAAATTCATGTAATACTCCGCATGTCTACCCAGTGTGTAAGGGAAGGGGTGCATTGTGGTGTTACCATGGAAACATTACCCGGTCGGGTACCCGTGCTACCCGTGGAAAACTACCCGAACTCGATACCCGAAGAAAATGCTAGCCGACTCCACCCTAATTGCAACAGTCCACAGTACATGATTGTGCAAGCTTGACATGATCCAGTCTCGTGGCACTGCATATTAGAGAGGTTTCGCTCTACGGAATTTCGTATGAAAATAACGTATGAACTGCACGGAATTTTCATACGTAAAAATCAGAGCTGTTGGGTTTCGCTCTACGTGATTTCTCCACGACTGCTAAACGTGCGTTGTTGCTGTGGAGACGCGTTGGCTGCACGCGCCCACCGCATGCACCATGAACCGAAACCGCGTTTTCCATTATATTTTGCACGTGGTGTACGGTGTGTGTACCTTGTGTTTCGCGCGGCTTGAATGTTGCCATAGCATGCCATGGACAAATGCGGAAAATGCGAAAAATATTTCAAAAAGTCCTACGGAGGACCCAACGTAGGAAAGAGCTTTCCTACGGAAATCCGTAGAGAGATTTACGTATGAAAGTTGCCCTCGCTCCCCGGCACGTACGACATACGGATTTTCATACGTAATTACGTAGAGCGAAACCTCCCTATTCTTTGGATGCACCTTCATGCCTGCGGTTCAGAGATTGTGTCTCATACTATTGTCTGACCGCAATGTGTACTCAGCCGGCCATTTTATCTCGATTACTTCTCGTTTTCAGTTCATGCTGCTGAATGGTTCCTGATGCATAGATATCGTGAGCTCTGTGACTGTCTACTAGTATACAACCGTGCACTCTCTCTCTCTCTCTCTCTCTCTCTCTCTCTCTCTCTCTCTCTCTCTCTCTCTCTCTCTCTCTCTCTCTCTCTCTCTCTCTCTCACACACACACACACTCAGGTAAATTGAAGACACTGCTCGATCGGATAGCGCAGAGCAAGACGAAAGAGGAGCGTGAGCGCCACGGTGATGACCTGCATCAGATAGTGACATTCGTGCAGTTTGCTAACGATGAGTGCGACTATGGCATGGGCCTGGAGCTGGGCATAGATCTGTTCGCACATGGCTCCAAGGTCTTCCACTCTACCCTCAGTCATCTGCTGCCCACAGCGTACGAGTTGCTAGGCAGGGATACGTTCGCTCGCGTTATCAGACTGCATCTGGCAAACCGCACCAAGTCTATCAGTATATGATGATGGTCGATTGCTTCTAATCTTTCGATCGCCAGTATCCGTCACTTCGGCGCAGAGCTCTGTGCCACTGCGTCCTGTTGCTATTTCCTGCCAGCTGTGCATGCGTGCTGCATACCTATCATGCTCCAGTTCACAACAAAGACTGGAGGAGTGGAAGGACAGTGCATTACGCAACTCATTAGGACAGTTAGAAGATGGCTGTACCCAGCCCGGTGCCACCGCTGTACGTGCGCAGTAGCGCATACCATTACGATACCACTTTTTTAATTACCACATGTATACCACAAATTAGAACACTAAAAAGACAAGGTAAAACAAAATTCCTCTACGATTGCATGAGCATAAGAAGTCTTACATCATAGAATGACGACGAAGACATGAGACAGGAGCACTCTACAAACTAACGTTACGTGTCATATCTGTACTATTAATTTCCAATTTCCATCAATAATAATTATGGATCCCCACATACTAGCAGTATGCATGTAGACTGTAGGGTGCAAAAATATTTGGAAATGCGGTTTAAAAAAAATCCTGATGGAACTGTGAACTGAATTTGATAGTCTTTGAACAAAAGGATGAGGTTCTAATTTGATGATCAAGGAATATGCTGTGGTGTCAATGTGTCAAGTTGGGATGCCAATCTTCAATCATGCAGCTGATCAATGAGCGAGTTTACATACATTTTAGGAGCCAGCCAGCATGAGCCTGGGATATCCAGCCATGAGAGCAATGAACCTGTGATATCCAGTCATGAGAGCTATGAACCTGTGATATCCAGCCTGTTCCACACCAAGCTACGCAGATAGTTACACGACTGGCTTGTACAGAAGAGTTGTGACGAACTTATGCTGATATCGCTGTGTGGTGGCCAGGACCATCACACCATCCTGAAAGCAGCAGGGGGGGGGGGGGGGGGGGGGGGAGAGACAGAGACAGAGAGAGATGTACTCAGATGTACAGGTAAGGTGGCATTACATGTATACAATCATGTACATGTACTATCCCCAAAGCAAGAAACTGGCCTCATCATATTTCGGTATGTGTTCCTTTGTTTGGAAGAGCCTTTGAACTGGTGACATCGCCCACCAGTAATTTACCCATCAACCGCCTGCAATCATATCGTAAATGCCTATAATTGTACTTCAAGTACACTGAAAGACTATGAGATCACAAAAGCTGCTTGTGAGCCTTCACTTGAAGACAAACCCAAATGAACCTGTCAACTACAATACAATACTATTGGCAATAAAATAAACAGCCTCACCTTGATTGACAATGCGTAGAGATGGTTGAGCAGCACGTGGTCAGGTGTGGGTAAAACCGTGGGGTCACACTACAGTACACCAAGCACATGATGCGCGCACACACACACGCACACACACATACAGGCACACACACATACAGGCACACACACACACATACACACACACACACACACACACACACACACCAAAATAAGAAACTGCAGGCAAGGCTGAGAACTTCGAAAGGAAACCCAATCTGTCAGGCATCACTGCTCCAAGCAGAGACTCATCGTGGAATACGGATTCAAGATGATGCATTGTGGGGACTAAAAATTACTCAAGGGCAAGGTATTCTAGAACTGCCATTATAGAGAGCCCATGCATGCCTCCAGCCAGGATCTGTACAGCAACAGCACACTACCACAAGATTAATCGACTCAAACAAAGGCAACAGCAACAGCACATTGCTTTACCCGCGGGTCTTGCTCACTGTTGAGCGGCACTTGATGCAGGAGACGCGGCAGCTGTGGCGGTACACCTGGAAGAAACTTCTCCGGCACTTCTTGGCTGTATTCTCCAGGTGGTGAACTTGAATAGGCTGAGCGATCAGAGCGAGAAAGAAAGAGAGAGGGAGATAGATAGAGAACCTCAATCCCAAGTTACCCCACATTACATTACAGTCAACCTGGAGAATAACGACCTCGGGTATACCGGTATACACAGTTACAACAACTCGCGAATAACAACATTATCCTCAGACCCAGTAACCACTTGACTGCATACTGTTGACCTCACAAATACAGACAATTCGCAAATCACGACAATGTTCTCATGCACCATCAGGGAGTCGGTATTCGCAAGTTTGACTGTACATCGTCACATGACCAGACACCAGTACAGTATAGTTAGTACATGCACATACACTGCTGGGGTGAATCCAGATCCAGGTCGAGCTCATCCAGATCAGCCTTATCTATCGTCACAACGTTGTTGAGCGTTCCCATGGCGTTGCGTGTGGTAGGCTACACAGTGTTCATCACAGTGCACACACACGCACACACACACACACACACACACACGCACGCACACACACCATGTACCCCACACACACACACACACACACACACACATACACACACCATGTACCACACACACACACACACACACACACACACACACACACACACACACACACACACACACACACACACACACACACACACACACACACATACACACACCATGTACACACACACACACACACACACACACACACACACACACACACACACACACACACACACATTGAAGACAGAGATACACAGAGAGGCAAACAACCAGGCTGGATCAGAGAGCCCGGTTACCCGACAAGCTAAAGCATGACGAAATATGGCAGACGGGGATATTCACTTCCACGCTGTCAAGTATTGCAGACTGCGGCTTTCGTTGTGGAAACAAGTACATGACTACTGCTAGGCCAAGAGTATGCACCAGCACAGCCAGCACAGCCATACCAGACACAACGCACGTGTGCAATTCGCCAAGCAATGATAAACCAGCATCACACTCATTAAAAAAAAACGATTGCACAGCAGCAGCACGTCACACATCCCCCCCCCCGATTGCACAGCAGCAGCACGTCACACATTCCCCCCGATTGCACAGCAGCTGCACGTCACACATTCCCCCGATTGCACAGCAGCAGCACGTCACACATCCCCCCCCCCCGATTGCACAGCAGCAGCACGTCACACAGTCCCCCCCCCCCCCCCAATTGCACAGCAGCAGCACGTTACACATCCCCCCCCCCCCCCCCCCCCCCCCCCGATTGCACAGCAGCAGCACGTCACACATCCCCCCCCCCCGATTGCACAGCAGCAGCACGTCACACATCCCCCCCCCCCCCCCCCCCGATTGCACAGCAGCAGCAGCACGTCACACATTCCCGCCCCATGCCTACTTCACTCGGATCGTGTATCCACTGGCCGTCGACGTGAAACTTGTACTCGTGTTTCCCAACCGGCAGATCAGCAATAAAGGAGAAGTTATCATAGCTGCAGTCGCAGCAAAAAAAACAGCAGCAGAGAAAGAGAAGACGGGACTTCATCTGGCATGCAATTCGACAGCAGCTGCATGAAGTTACCACGCTACACATGCCGATGCACGCAACGGGGGCGCTGTACCACTAGCCAATTTCAAGTGGATTCGTTGTTTTCTTTATTGCGTCTGGGTGTGATTGTACACTCAACCCCGGTTGATTTCACTGTTAATTATTACATGCTCACAACTTAGTTCCATTCCTGGCCGAGTTCCACTGGCATTTCGAAAGTCTCAGCACGGGACAGAAGACGAGCTCAAAAGTACCACACACACACACACACACACACACACACACACACACACACACACACACACACACACACACACACACACACACACACACACACACACACACACACACACACACACACACACACACACACACACACACACACACACACACACACACACACACACACACACACACACACACACACACACACACACACACACACACACACACACACACACACACACACACACACACACACACACACACACACACACACACACACACACACACACACACACACACACACACACACACACACACACACACACACACACACACACACACACACACACACACACACACACACACACACACACACACACACACACACACACACACACACACACACACACACACACACACACACACACACACACACACACACACACACACACACACACACACACACACACACACACACACACACACACACACACACACACACACACACACACACACACACACACACACACACACACACACACACACACACACACACACACACACACACACACACACACACACACACACACACACACACACACACACACACACACACACACACACACACACACACACACACACACACACACACACACACACACACACACACACACACACACACACACACACACACACACACACACACACACACACACACACACACACACACACACACACACACACACACACACACACACACACACACACACACACACACACACACACACACACACACACACACACACACACACACACACACACACACACACACACACACACACCTCAGACCTCAGACCTCCTCACCTCAGACGTGCCCATCGCGGAAGCGATGATAGCGAACAGCTATGTTAGACATAGCAACTTGTGCTGGGATTACACCATTCAACAGCTTGCAAGGCTGATGAATTGACCGCCACTATTTTTAGCCTGGTATCCACCACACAGCTGTTTGAAGTGACTTTTTCTGGCCAGAGAATCCCTATTTTTCATTTTTCCATTTTTTTCTACACACACACACACCACACCACATACTCCGGCATACACTGGCTGTTGGTAACCACCCAGGAGAATGAAAGAAAAGTCAGGAAGAGTCCGAGAAAGAGAAGAAAGACGTGTGCGACCATAATCGTCGGGAATTGAACCCGCAACCTCTCGATTGGAAATCGACTGCACATACCACTGTACCATATGGGACACACACACACACACACACACACACACACTTGTACTTACTTACTTACTTGTTGCTCACTGCCAAAACTGGTCATGTGGGTCTCCCCGGGAGAGGGGAGAGAGACTCAAAAGGAATCTTGGAAAGATGACTCAATTGGCCATTGAACCACCCAACGACCGACACCCCCTGAAATCCCCAAACTAGGGTGGACTTGAAATGATCCCACTTATGGGCTCACCACACCTCAGTAAGTGGGTGAGGACAAGGTGCAGAAAAGGATTGACGGCATCAGGGTATCCGTCCCGGGATCCAACTGCAGGTACCCCTGCCCCCAGTGAAGGTAATACTTGGTACTAGTGTCGGTGGCTAAATCAGAGTGGATCTGATATAAGCTTCACTAGCACCATTGATTACACAAGAGTTAATCTAGCCAGAAGCAGTCCATGGTTAACAGGTATGTATACTTCACACACACACACACACACACACACACACACACACACACACACACACACACACACACACACACACACACACACACACACACACACACACACACACACACACACACACACACACACACACACACACACACACACACACACACACACACACACACACACACACACACACACACACACACACACACACACACACACACACACACACACACACACACACACACACACACACACACACACACACACACACACACACACACACACACACACACACACACACACACACACACACACACACACACACACACACACACACACACACACACACACACACACACACACACACACACACACACACACACACACACACACACACACACACACACACACACACACACACACACACACACACACACACACACACACACACACACACACACACACACACACACACACACACACACACACACACACACACACACACACACACACACACACACACACACACACACACACACACACACACACACACACACACACACACACACACACACACACACACACACACACACACACACACACACACACACACACACACACACACACACACACACACACACACACACACACACACACACACACACACACACACACACACACACACACACACACACACACACACACACACACACACACACACACACACACACACACACACACACACACACACACACACACACACACACACACACACACACACACACACACACACACACACACACACACACACACACACACACACACACACACACACACACACACACACACACCTCAGACCTCCTCACCTCAGACGTGCCCATCGCGGAAGCGATGATAGCGAACAGCTATGTTAGACATAGCAACTTGTGCTGGGATTACACCATTCAACAGCTTGCAAGGCTGATGAATTGACCGCCACTATTTTTAGCCTGGTATCCACCACACAGCTGTTTGAAGTGACTTTTTCTGGCCAGAGAATCCCTATTTTTCATTTTTCCATTTTTTTCTACACACACACACACCACACCACATACTCCGGCATACACTGGCTGTTGGTAACCACCCAGGAGAATGAAAGAAAAGTCAGGAAGAGTCCGAGAAAGAGAAGAAAGACGTGTGCGACCATAATCGTCGGGAATTGAACCCGCAACCTCTCGATTGGAAATCGACTGCACATACCACTGTACCATATGGGACACACACACACACACACACACACACACACTTGTACTTACTTACTTACTTGTTGCTCACTGCCAAAACTGGTCATGTGGGTCTCCCCGGGAGAGGGGAGAGAGACTCAAAAGGAATCTTGGAAAGATGACTCAATTGGCCATTGAACCACCCAACGACCGACACCCCCTGAAATCCCCAAACTAGGGTGGACTTGAAATGATCCCACTTATGGGCTCACCACACCTCAGTAAGTGGGTGAGGACAAGGTGCAGAAAAGGATTGACGGCATCAGGGTATCCGTCCCGGGATCCAACTGCAGGTACCCCTGCCCCCAGTGAAGGTAATACTTGGTACTAGTGTCGGTGGCTAAATCAGAGTGGATCTGATATAAGCTTCACTAGCACCATTGATTACACAAGAGTTAATCTAGCCAGAAGCAGTCCATGGTTAACAGGTATGTATACTTCAAACACACACACACACACACACACACACACACACACACACACACACACACACACACACACACCAGGGATGAATTTATCCAGTATCGCATCGCAGTTTGCGATGCAAAATCGACCTACTGCTACTCAAAAGTCACCGTGACTCGCAGAAAACTGTGATACATACAGATTATCCATGCCTAGCCTGTGCTGTCAACTAACATGCATAATTACAGTCAAGTGTATGTGGTGCAGGCACTCTCAATCTGCGTGCACATGTATGATTCAGTCGATTTTTTTGCAAATGGGCTTTCAGGCATCACTCTCAAGAAGGACAATGTGGTAAACACCCAACCTTCAAAGAAAAATGCTAATCAAAATCAAAGACTGCTGCACAATTGTGATTTTGTATAGAAGAAACTGCTATGCAAAAATATGACAATAAATTCATCCCTGCACACACACACCTTTGGACCTTTGGATGTCCATTGCTCCGTGCAATGATAGCATCAGGAGTTGCAGTATTTCCTGTGGCGAGTTAGATCGTTGGGCCGACGGAAGTCCCTGCCACAGCCGCAAATGAACACTCTAGGCTTTGGCACAGCCGGCCGGGGACGATTGCACATGAGGCGCCAGTCTCGCCTGTCCTGCGCCAAGTCGCACCAGTCACCGACACACACACACACACACACACCTGTCCTGTCGAGCCGCTGCCACAGGGGTCACGTGGGCCCCGGAGGGGCATGAGAGAGGAAGATGGAGCACGCTGATGCCGTCGGAGGTTCTCTCTCTCTCTCTCTCTCTCTCTCTCTCTCTCTCTCTCTCTCTCTCTCTCTCTCTCTCTTTCTCGCTCTCTTCTCTGTAACAAATTTCATCTCACGATGTTCTAAATCCACTCGGGGGCTTGTTAGACCTCCCCGAGCGGCAACGTCGGGCACAACTGAAAGTGACGTGCACACACGCACACACACGTGCCCATCGCTGAAGCAATGATAGCGAATAGCTATGTTAGACATAGCAAAACTTGTGGTGGTTTTACAACATTCTACAGCCTGCAAGGCTGCTGAATTGACTGCCACTAATTTTAGCTTCGTGTCTGCCGCACAGCTCATTGACGTAGCTTTTTCTGGCAAGTGAATCCCTATTGTTCATTTTCATTTTTTTTACACACACATCATTTCTTAACTCGGAACCTGAGCCTTCCAAGTTGGAAGGTTGGTTTGCGCCTTGGAGAAGTGTTGGAGCTAGGTGTCAGGTCGCCGAATGTCTCAGTACTCCTTTGTCAGTTTTGTGCCATTTTGTCGCACTCGCTGACATGTATAAGATCTAGGGCTGAAACAATTATACCGATAACTCGCATATCGATCGTTATGAGTGCAATCGATAATCGTTAGTGTTCAAAACGAGTGCTAACGATTTTTTATGCATGCATATCAGGGACAGCATTCGAGCCCTTGCACTCCATCTCATAGCAATACGAGTACAATCATGTACTTTCAAGCGCCGTTAAATTGATTTATGGCTTTGAAAGAGATCGGGAGAGAAGACTTTGTGTCTTTTTGGTTCATTTCTGGGAGAGGTTGGAGATAAGAGCAGTTGCCAGAGGGTGATGACAAGATTCAGATATCAACAATGTGGGGCCACAAATCTCTTACATAGCAAAGGTATCATGGAATTTCTTCCTAAACTAGTGTTCGAGGAACACGGGTAGAGACAACAAGAATCGATAAAACCAATAAATCGATCGTTAATGATATTGGTCGATCGTTAGGAGTTATTGAATGATCGTTTCAGCCCTAATAAGATCTGGTTACGTTGGTGGAGAGTTAGGGCATGTTCGATTGGTAAGGATCGGGATCCAGATCTCAGATCCGTCGGATCCTTCAGAGTCAACTGGACACTTTTTTGGGCCTTGACTGTTGCCATGTTGACGAAGTAATAAAAAGTCGTACTCACCGTGCCAGTTGTACAAAAAGTCAACAAGCTCTATCACGATCCACGTGTGCGTACCACAATGTGTACAAAAATGATTTTTACCCGCCATATACGCACAAGGCAGGCAGGCATAGTGGGATGGTCTAAGACCATGATTGAGAAACAGAGGGTACCAGGTTCAAGTCCTGCTTGGAAGCGGAAGGATTTTTTCCAGCCGTGCTGCGACCCACAGTTAATTGGGAACTCGTGGCCTGGCACGAGGGAAACATGGATGCAGTGAATGGGATTTCGGTCTTTGACCACTTTGTGGTGGGTCTGATCTACTCACCTCCCACCGCTTAGGAGCTGCATCTGCGCCTTGATCCAAGAGGGTGGTGGCGTTCCTGCGGATGCGGAAAACTGGGCCTTTGGCCGAGTCTCACGCGAACCGTGAAATTTTTTTTTTTTAAATACGCACAAAGGTCACATTTGGATCCGGTCAACCCTGCTCCCCGAGGTGGATTGACCGGATCCAAATCCGAAGGATCCGGATTCGACCAATCGAAAGGGTGCGAATCCAGTGCAAGGGCGACGGAAGCGGTACGACTGGTACGGCTCGAGCCGTACCACTTTTGGCTCCAGGTGGTCCACGCGGAACGTCCAAATCCGGTGTAAAAAAATGGGGGTATCGAGTTTGTACATGACCACACGTGATCGTGAGCCGCGATCCGTCATCGGTGCACCAGTCAGGTCACTGCACCGTGTAACGCGTGACTAGACTGTCGACTACGGAACTGCATGGCATGTATGCGTCATGACTCGTAAATCTAGTCGGTCTCTTTGTTACTTCGTACCTTTGGAGACCCTCTGAGAGGGGTATCTTGAGTGTTTTTTGAAAAAAAATTCCCGGAGTTTCCCCCGGACCCCCTCTGACTGTTGAGTCGTACCACTTTCTACCTCCTTCCAACGCCCCTGCAGTGGATCCAGTGGATCGGGATCTCCCTATCCTACCAATTGAACATGCCCTTAAGCGGGATTCACAGAAGCTTTTTTTGCGATGCGACACGCGATGCGACAGACGCGAAACCGGGAAAACCCCAAATCGCAGCCATGTCGCACCCCACGCAACTGCCGCAACTGGGCCATCGCAGAAGTTGAGCTTGGCTCAACTTTTGCGATGCAATGCGATGCGACAAGCGATTTGGCGTACGAATTTGACCTTTTCTACAGCAAAGTTGTACAAAGGTTCAAGAGTTGCCTATAAATTTGTACAAGTTGTATCAAACCGCGCAAATATTATGGTGACGTAGCCAAATCAGCAAGATGTTGTCGCATCACTGACTTCTTCTGTGAATGGTATTTCGCGAGTTCGCATCGCACGCGTCCGTCGCAGATCGCGTCGCATCGCGTGTCGCACCGCAAAAAAGCTTCTGTGAATCCCGCTTTAGTCATAACTCGTAACATTTTGTCCTCCTTTTTTCACCATAACATTTCGTATATTATAACGGTATTATTATTATTATTATTATAATCCACTGTTCCTGTTCCTTTTCCCTTGCCTGTATTTCACCTGACGAGAAGGCTTGAAAGTATACTTGTGAAGACAAAAACTTTCAAGATGTTTGTAATGAGCCTGAAGTGTGTCCTTTTTATGAGTATTATTATTATTTTTTCTTATTTTGTTAGGGATTTCCCAACAGGCAATGTTGCCTTTTTACTGGGAACCCTAAATGAGACTTTGTGTGAGCGCGAAACAGGTATAGAAGCATGCCCCAACCCCCGTCCCACACGCACACACATACAACATACGCGTGCACGCACACCACACCCACTCCCACACACACACACACACACACAACCAATTCGGTACTCTACCTTTCTGTCATGGGGATCTTTTCCCAGTTCGAAAATGATCCAGCAACCATGACATTTTTGCCACCATTTTCCCACTTGAAAACTGTGGGCACAGTTAGTTTCTCGTCGCTTACAGAGGATCCACGACGAAGGTCTGGAGGTACAATTTCATAGTCACCACGACTAAGGGGTTCCGCTTGTCCCGTGGATAGCGTTGTCAAGTGACGAAACTCAGGCACAGAGGAAGATAGAGGATCCTCGGCATTGCGATCACTCTCAGACTGTACGACCTCAGGCTCCGCGGGTTTAGCTGGTGAATTGCCCATTTCGCACAGCTTCTGTCGGCGACTACATCGAGGCAAATGGGGGAGGAATCAAGTCGTCTGCATTGGCTAGAACAACGTCTTTTCATGTGCTTTGTTGGATTTCGTAGATCTACATGACTAGCTGTACGTATGGATATATTACATATGTATTTCCCATTAAAAAAAATGTTTTGCGGGTGACGTCAGTGATTTGGGAACTGACGTCATTAGGAAGTAGTAGTTTTACTACTTCCCGACAATGAGTTCACCTCGACCACACGCTCTCCATGATTAAGGTGGCGATCTACCTTCAGGGGTCAAAATTTTGTGAAATTTTCTACTTGCTCTGATTTCGTCCAATGCGGTGTCAAATTGCTCGTATAGATACCAGACATCATCTGTGAAAATTTGAGTGAGATTGCTTTATCCATATGGCTGCTATGAGCTTGCAAAGACCGAATGTAACATATCTTTGACTTGCACAATTGCAACTTTTTGGGGAAAACGTAGAAATCGGTCTTTTCACGGTAAATCCTTGTGGATTTTGTTCAAATTTTCTGTGCTTGTCAGAAATACGACTGCTGAGTCATGCCATACCAATACGCACATATTACGTCATCATGGACACAGTGCGCATGCGCAAATCAATAATTCGATAATTTGTGAAGTATTCAAACAATTGTGTTTGGAAAGTCTATTGGAGACGTCTCACGTCGTCGCCTGTCACCAAGATCGGGTGGAATGAGTACTGTCCGTCGTCTTGGATGTGCGAAGCAGCCAATCTGACTGCCAGAAGCTCTCGATATCCATCTATCCGCGGAAAATATCCCTGACGTTGACGACGCTATTCAAATTTATTGGCAAAAAAATTGCCAAGCGAAGACGTATTTCAACTTCATCTCCAACTCTGACTACTCTGACGATGACGATGTCAACAACAGTTCTAGCTATTGTGGTGATTAGTTTGTCTCTCTCTCTTTCGGCGTCAGGCAGTGAGTGCAAAATATAGCCTACTGGAGTTAGTCTGTGAAATATTGAGTGATTTCTGCTATTTCTGGTCAAATCAGTATGCTGTCAGCTGGACCAGTCCACATCCCATCGTAGATCTACTAAGCGAGCAGGCAAACCCAGATATTTGCCTAGGGATTTCATTGTGTGTGGTGAGAAGAGAAGTCAATTCACTTCTGAGAAATTCAATTTCAAATTGGATGTCCACAGGCCTGTATTTAGTATGCGCCGAATTCATCACCGCCAGTGACGCTTTGCATAGTTTTCAATATTCTACCGCCCATTTATACTAAGACCTGTGGCGGCAACGCGATCCTATTCAACCTGTGGTCATGTTCTCCGAGATGAGTTCAGAAGCAGACATGTGAAATGCTACGCTGGACCTGAGGCAGTTTACCAAAGTGGCAGTGCTGCAACCGCATGCGATCGCCGTCATGTGTGACGGAAACGGCATGGCTGCACCCTGGATATGCCTCATTCATCAGCACCTTTATTGCCATACCCATGGAGAGAGGCCACCAGTGAAGGCTGGGTTTCCGACTCGATTTTGCCTGCAATGCTCATGATTGAACAAGCCCTTAGAGAAGAAATGAAGACTCTAGCTGAACATTGAAACCAGATAGCATCGCGTTTCTGCTCGGCACCGCACTAAGTAACACCATTGTGATACAACCAGGAAGAGCTGGGAACGTGTGAGAAGTGACAAAGAAGTCAAGGAAGAAGTAAAGAAGACTGAAGAAGAGCATTACTAATCATCAAGGAGACCAAAATGAGGTCACCTACGAGCCAGATGGCTTCTGATGTGAAGATTTGTAGGCAGGTAGGCTGGAATTGGATAGACCTTTTTTGTGTGTTTTTGGTAACTTTTTAGCCTATCCCGCATTTTTCTACCACGATTGCGGCAAAGTGGTAGGTGCTATACCCCTAAACCTATACATTTCTGAGCTCTGTGATGCATCAGCTAGTTCGTGAATGTCTTCGTTTAGCCATTCATCATTGCTTGTTCTCACATTGGTTGTGGACCCGATCATGACTTTTTTTGCGGATGCGCGCGTCAAAACGCTTTGTTGTGACATGGTGATCTAAAGGACTTTGCAACTGTTTCTTGATATTCAATACCTAGAATTATATGTTAGGAACGCTGTAGCAATTGGTTATTTTCTACCTGATGGATGCATATTTCAATTTTGCGGTTAAGAGGTGCGGGTGCGGCCAATTATCGTGATTCGGCAATAACAATGGACATGAGCGGAGTCTGTCCTCTATTTGTGCTGCTCCTTGTCCTTTGGTACATAATGAATGTCTCCAGAAAATTTGACCTAATTCCAAAAAGAATTGGCTGAGATGTTTGTATTTTACGGTGGACTATCCGCGAAGGTAGATCGCCACCTTAAAGGGGAAGTATACCCTAAAATCAAATTTTCACCAGTTGTAGTCTTCGGGGTGCTGAGTCCAATGGTCTTGGTCCGAGGAAGCTGCGACGCTCCCTTCCTACTTGAATCCCAATCGAACTCGCGCACTTCCACCGAAACTGGGTGACTGCGCCCTACTAGATGGGGATTTGTATGCAAAATGTCACTAAAAGCGCCATTTCGTTCTTATAAAAGCACGGATGACCGCGATTGGCCCATATGTTGTAGTCTTTTGGACGCTGAGTCGACTGGTTTTGGTCCGAAAAGGCTGCGATGCAGCGTTCCTCCTTTATTCCCAATCGAACATGGTTGAAGAAGCGGTCACGTGGTCCTGGTTGCCCAAATCACCTGGTCACCGCGCCAGCAGGCGACAACTTTCACACCAAGGTTCAACTCGAGTGACAGGACTGCACCCAAAAAAGGTCAAACAGGCTAGTAAGTTGTACCCTGCAGGCACGGTGACCAGGTGACTGGTGTACGCAGGAGCACGTGACCGCTTCTTCAACCATGTTCGATTGGGAATAAAGGAGGAACGCTGCATCGCAGCCTTTTCGGACCAAAACCAGTCGACTCAGCGTCCAAAAGACTACAACATATGGGCCAATCGCGGTCATCCGTGCTTTTATAAGAACGAAATGGCGCTTTTAGTGACATTTTGCATACAAATCCCCATCTAGTAGGGCGCAGTCACCCAGTTTCGGTGGAAGTGCGCGAGTTCGATTGGGATTCAAGTAGGAAGGGAGCGTCGCAGCTTCCTCGGACCAAGACCATTGGACTCAGCACCCCGAAGACTACAACTGGTGAAAATTTGATTTTAGGGTATACTTCCCCTTTAACAGCCAAGACTTGCCTCTACCAAGTCCAAGGCAAGAGACAAAAAAAGTTCATGATACTACAAGTAATAATTGGAAAGGCTTCCTGTCTGAAGCCTTTCCATACTGGTACTCGATGTTCCAGTTTTGTGACACGAGAATGGCACGAGAATTAGTGTACCGCTGAGTGTACCGCTATACACGTGGTCGACACGTAGTCGATACGTTGTTGATACTTTTTTGACACGTGACCCCGTCAACGGTCTGCTTTGTGCCAATGCCACTCGGTAAACGCCGATGTCGCATACGACAAAGACGACTATCCCGTACGCGAAATAGTTGAGAACTGCATGACGTGGACCTGACGGCAAGGACAACTGCGAGGAGGCCCCTTTCGGTACCCCTGACGGGAAGGAGAACTGCAGAAGTCGACGAAGTCGAACGAGGAGGCCCCTTTTCCGTACCCCATACTGCAAAGTGCCATTGATGGATACCTTTTGCACCTGGAACGACCCCTTAAACGCTGTCGCGGCGACTATCCCGTACGCGAAATAGTTGAGAACTGCTGACGTGGACCTTTTGCACCTGGAACGGCCCCGTAAACGCTGTCGTGTCGGCGGAGTGAATGTGCAGGGTACTAGGGTGAAAAGAATTGCTGCAAAGACGTCCCCTCTACTAGGCCTTTGCCTTTGGAGACATCGTCGGCGAACTGAATGCGCAGGGCGAAAAGAATTGCTGCAAAGACGTCCGCAGTCTAGGCCTTTGGAGACATCGTGGGAACTCCTTCCGGTACTATACAAACTGCTGACGTGGCCGTGGACATGTACATGGAGAGTCATGGTGGGACTTCATGTACATGGATACATGGTGGGAATTCCTTCCGGCACCCCCGTACCGCAAAGCCAACGGTGGGGAAGGAGAAGTGCAGACGTGCAGGAAGACGAACGAGGAGGAACCAGGACGAGCGAGCAATGGCAGGACTAGCTGGACCGTAAGTAATAGCTGAATTGTGCATGACAACTTGACATCCATGCGGCACTCGCCACTTGCCACTGCATATTTCTTGTCCACTAACAATGTCTCTCCTCTGCCCCCTGTGTGTCCACGGCCCTGTTTCTGAATTGGCCCGATGAATCGAATGTCTTCCGCAACTGGAACGGCCCCGTGAACGCTGTCGCGTCGGCGACTGAATGCGCAGGAGGGAAAATATTGCTGCGAAGACGTCTCCTCTAGACGACGGTAAGGCACCCCATTGATATGTTGCCAGTGTGTGCCAGGGTATCGCGCGATGGTAAATGAGGAATGATGAAGGGTACGGTGGGACTGTAGACCTGTTACCTTCTACTAACACGTTATCAGGTGGAGAGTGTCTTGTACTCACGTTATCACTATATCAGGTCGAGAGCGTATTGTAGTCACTCTCTCTATTCCTGTACTTCATTACGTTTCAGGTGTACGCATAACTTTTCCAAAAAATTTAATGGTTCACGTCTTCAGATAGAGAGCGTATTGCACCCACTGTCTAGTCTCTGTAGTGCATTGAGATTTTGTTGATCGAACATGAAATGGATACACAGACAAAGCCAGGCCAAGTACATGGCGAGATGTCGCCAGAAGAACGTCTTCAGGTAGAGAGCGTATTGCACCCACTGTCTAGTCGATTTTGTGGATCGCACATGAAATGGATACACAGACAAAGCAGGCCAAGTACATGAGAGAGTGGACGATGTGCAGATCGACACGGCCTGCGGGTACTTCATTAAAGTTACCCGTGACATAACTAGGATAAAAGTTAATCACTGCAAAAACATTGCCAAGTATGTGAGCACTTTAGACTTGACAGAAGAGTGCACGGGCGACGTTGACAAAACATACCGCGGTGACTGTCACTATCATGACAGCAGGGCACATCGCACGCAGCATCGCAGATCGTGTCAAATTGCGCATCATAATAATTGCAAAATTGCTCCTGTGCATGCAAGTGGATTTCATTGCACTTCTCAGTTTGGGAAATGCTCGATTATGACAATTCTCCGTGTGAGTGCACTAGCCCTGAACAGACATGTAGGTGAACCGTTTGTGGTGTCTCATAGCCTACCTCACGACCTTCTGCTTTCTTTCTTCATCACTTGTATCTTGCAGGTATATCATCCCGTGACGACCACATTGAAGTCTGAATTTGAAGTGTGAAGATGCTTCAGCAACCACATCGTACTTTTCCATTGCTTTCATTGTGCTTCTACTGTGCATGTGTGTAACTTGTGGGGTAAACATGTGATGACATTGTATGCTGGCGACACGGTCAGATGTTCATGCGTCTAACGTACACCTGCATGTTATGCATTGAAAAGGGTTTGCCACTTGCGATCCTGGGACGAGTATCAGGTCCGCTTTGATCTGTGTGGGCTGTATCAGATTGCTGTTCACTTCTCTATCTGTTGGATATGTGACGTTCTGCAAGTTTCTGGTGTATGATGGCCACGTCCTTGCTTGTCACTTTGTATGATATTACATTCTGTATTCGCTGCTTCCATGGCATGGTCTGCAAACTGCAATCCTTGGGCAAATGTCATGTTTGCTATGTTGTGCTTTGGCCGTCAGCTTGTCTACACGCTGTAGTTGAATTATTTTTGTTTCACAACTGACTTCCTCAACTTGCTCAAGTACGGTGGCCACTGCTTTGCATGCCATTATACATGAAGAATTTCCTGTTTGTGTCGTGTGCATGTGCGTATGTGTGCGTGGCCACGTGTGTGTGCCGTGTGCATAGACATGTTCGTGTATCTGTGTGCGGGGTAGCGAGGCGGGGAGGGCTGGTATGTATCAGTGTGTTATTGCAGTCGCATGGCTACATACAGTACATCGCGCGCGTGGTCATCATGTTTACCTTCGGGGTTGGGGTGGGGAGGGAACGGAAAAAGAGCTGAAATTATCCATATAAAAATCGCTCTGTGAGCGGTTCTAAAAAACCTTTACTGGTACTGCCCCGTCGTAAAAGTAAGAAATTAGAACTGGCCCATTGTCCCCCCAAATGCGAACTGATCCACCTAAATCGCGAATGACGGGACCCGAACGCACCAGTAGCACGAGGTCGGGAGGGCACAGGACAGCAATTATCATAGGGCAACACCACCTACCGCTAGTACAGTACATGGCCTATAGTCCGGACCAACGTCCCCATCTGCATCCACAGGTAGGAACCTCGTGCTACTGGTGCGTTCGGGTCCCGTCATTCGCGATTTAGGTGGATCAGTTCGCATTTGGGGGGACAATGGGCCAGTTCTAATTTCTTACTTTTACGACGGGGCTGGCTCAAAGCAGATAAGCAGATACGCTTTGAGCAGATTCGCTGTCACGAAGCTCGTTGTGACGGATAGTCGTGTGACCGCCAGTGCTGCAGGAAAGTACATGGCTGTACTTGAACGAAGTAATTTACTTCGTTCAAGTACATGTACTTAGTTCGGTTTTAGGTACAGTCACACGTGTAGATCAATACTGTGACTGTGTACTGGCGTAACTGCACTGACTGCTGCAATACGCCATGCAGGAGGTATGACTCTTTCCCATGTCTTTGGCAGCTGCTAGGCGCTAGCCTATTTCAGAGGCTGTGGAGTGTGGGCCAGTGCAGTCTGCGCTCATACCGCGTACCGGTAGTGGATTTAGACTGCTAGTATTATATACACAGTCAGTACAGCGAGAAAATCGTAATCAGATTCTGTTTGCGAACATTCCATGGTCCAAGCACTTGTTTTGAGAGAGCCGGGGATCCCGGAGTGACCCGGACTCATTGCAGTTCTCACTGAAGACTATAGGCTAGCCTGGACCTCAGGCGCAATCTCCTGTGAAGCAGGTTGTAGATAATACCTTCGTTTACCGCAGTGACTGAGTTATGGCCACGTCTGAGATCTACCCAACCGAATATGTGGATGCTCGTAAACCCTTTGACTCTACGAACCCGGTCCACCAGCGCATGGGCAGGTCAATTTTTCATCTCAGGATAGAATGCGAGAAGTGCGGAAAAGGAGGCTACGGTACCTGCTTCTTGCTTCAGGATTTGAGCAAAGACTGCGACGAGGATTACGTGTACTTTGCTACTGCGGCACACAATCTCTACTGCGTTTTCATTCCCGAAGAGGAACAGAACCCGAACTGTGAGACTGGTTGTAATCAATATCGCGTTCTTAAGATTATTGAGAGATGGAACTTGAAGCAAGTTGGTGTTCAAACGCCAGTTTACCTAACTGACACCATAGGGAAGAATAGCAAGGCCGGATGGCTGAAGGTCTCCAACATGTACGAAAAGAACGCCAAGTCTGTCCAGGTCCAGGCTGAGGCGGCTGCTCATGCGGCTGCTCATGCGGCTGCTCACCAGGCCAAGCTAGACCGCTACACCTACGATTTCGGTGTCATTGCGGCGCGCAAAGTCGACCTACTCAACAATCCATCACTTCTCCCAGGCATTGACCAACAAGTACCAGTCTTTTGGGGCAACTTGGAGCCGGATGACGTGAGTGCCTATCTGTGTGGGTATCCAGGCAGAGTTGGAGATCACAAGAAAGATGAGCTTCCACCCCGTGCAAAGAAACGCAAATACTGGGTACCATCGGCCTCTCGGGTCGTCGTGCTGGCTCCCAACCTGCTGAAGCATTACGTGCATTCAAGTGGAGGGCAGAGTGGCGCTCCACTTTACAAATTGACTCCGTCTGTGGCCGGCGAAGCCCCATGTGTGCTGGGCATCCACGTAGGAGGGATTCCGAAGAACCCAGATGATAGGCACAACCTGGCGGTGAAGCTTTGCGCCAACTCCGTGGCACTTCGCACTATTCGCGGCTGGGCGCTGGGTGCGCCATACGTTCTGGATGATACTGTCAAGGCTGTGACTTTTGGTAAGCCCACTAATTTATAGGCGATTCAGACTACGGCCAAAGTCACGTGCAAACTTGAATTTCCATGGTGATGCAGTTGTGTTTCAAAATGTTATGCACAGTCGAGTCAGTCCCTGATCAAATCCATCTGAGTCGTAGAAACGTGGTCACATTTGGCCGTAGTCTGAATCGCCTATAATTGCTAGTACATGTATGTATAAAGAAGTGCTAGTATGTATGCATGTGTATGTACATGTATTGCTGGGGGGGGAGCATATTTTTACTTTGAGAGGTATTGGACGAGGAATCCATTGTCCATTGAGTTTGGAGCACGAATAATATATTTATAAAGTCGAATGATCCTGGTCCAACCTAGGCGCATGTCTCTGACGAAGAGTTTTAGAGTTTGTTCAAGGACATCTTGCAGTTATCACACACGAGTGCTATGTCAGCGAGTGCAGCAAGTAAAACATCGGCGTACCTGGAAGTACTAGCGATATTTCAACATACACGTATTTTAAAGAAAAGAAGAAGAAAGGAGACAGAATGATGATGAATGTGTAATGTCGAAGATGTGATGGTGTGGAGGTGAGGTTAGAGATATGCGTGTTATGCGTTGCTCCCCTAAGTTCCTGTTGAAGAATATGCCCAGTAAGCTTTCAACAAATGATAAAAGACTGGTTCACATTGTTCCCTCCACTGCTGGCGATTGTGAACACCATCTTCCTGCGGGCTCCACACATGCTACACACACACATATGCGGGCGACGAAACAATTTACCGCTACCATCGTCTGTCTGCCACCCCAGACAAGGCCGATTCAGCAGGGGATTTTGGATTAATCTGTACTTTTTGTGTATTTAATTAACTAAACCAACTGCTAATATTTATTCGGTAAAGTGTGCAGGTTCTATGCAACTCGTGGCTCTGATATAATTATTGGCGGGTTCCTGAATGTTAGTCGAGCCGTGATTAGTGAAAACGCACCTAAATAGGATTTTATAGAGATTTTTTGGTCATAATCACAAAAATGAAATCTGGAGTGCATTGCACTACCACACGGCTGTTACGCAGTGGACATCTAACAAGATGGCGGCGAAAAGTTTGAAAACGCTGCGGATTTACTGAAATCCTATCGACTTAGTACAAAATGTATAGAATTATATAATTGCGCCGGATTTAGTACTTTCTTTCGGTAAAGTCGGTCTAAACCCAAATATTTTTTGAAACGACAAGGAAGTAAGAACAGAAGTCTTGCTGTCGAAAACATCAAGAAGAAGAATTATTATTGGAGGAAGTAGAAGTGAACAGTTAGACCTTACCTCTCTGGCTTTGCGTGTAGTCAGTGTTATGGCGGACTGGCTGGTTGATCTGCCTGCGATGGAGCAGTCCGCTGCCTCGATCGAACTTTGGGCCGTTGATCTGCAACGTCTGGCAGGGTGCATACGAGGTGTTGTTCTGCAACAGCATGCAGGCGCTCAAGCTCGCCGGGAATGGAACCGTATCTCTTCTCGAGCAGGTTGAACTCGGCGTGAATTCCTTCCGCGCCCTGTTCCGACAGTAGACCAAGCCCGACGTTAACTCTCCGCATCAGCGGCACAGTGTGTTCCTCAAGGAGGTGCAGCTTTGGAGTGATGTGACCTAAGCCTCTCTCCACCACCTCGCTCCGACATTTCTGTAAGAACGAGGCAATGGAGAGCTCCAATTGCTGCAGTTCCTCCTCTCCACATTTGTTGCAATGGCTGAAGGAAGATCTGCACGCTGCGTACTGGCTGAACAGGGACTTGTACCGCTCACTGACTACTTGAGCATCATTCCGCAGAGCTGGGCACCGATCTCCAATGACAATTGCTGGGGCCTCAGTGATAGCTGTGATCACGGCGGGCTTGAGGGCACGGTGGATATGGTTCCCTACGAAAGCACCGCCGTGATAGGCCTGCCGATGGATAATGTTCTTCTGCAGTACTGGCTCTATGGACGCTTCGCACGGGCCGAGAACATCCTTGCTGCGGCGCAACTTGGCCAGTTCGTCTTCAGCAATCTTCAGCTGTGAGCTACACTGCTCTGTGTCGGCCTGTGCTTGCTCAACCTCCCGTTGTAGCACGCCTGCGAGTGCTTCTATCGCCATGCCCTGTTGCTGGCCAAACAAGACGATGAAGTGCAGATGATTCTCCAGAGCGGTGGCTTTCGCTGTTGCTTCCGAGAACGCTGTTTTGCAGCCAGACAACTTGTGATTTGCAGCTGACAAGGCTCTAAACCGTCCACTGTCTTGCTCTTCAGCGTCGCATTGTTCTGCAAGCTGCATGTCCAGAAGACGGACCTCGCGTGTGAATACATCAAAGATCCACGGGAATACACCGAGGTCTAGGTGCAGCACTGGAATAATGGCGCTCGCAACGGGCACTGGCAATAGGACTGGTCGGATGGTGTTGTTATACAGCTTTGCCTTTGACAGCAGAGCACCTGCGCTAGTAAACTGTGCATAGTCCTCCGCCATCTTCTCTAAGGACCGTGCTCCATACTGTACGTCGCGGTTCGCTGGTGGGACCTGCATGTCTTTCTTCGTGCACAAGCAATGGAGGCAAGGCCTTACGCCACTGGAACCCGACAAGCCGTAGTTCATGGTTTGGTACTCGTAATCACCAAACAGATAAGGCACAATGGTCTTGCCTTTCCATTTCTGGCCCTGTAGCTCTGCAATTTGGTTCCGATACATTGAGAGTGCAGTTTCCAGGTTTGCCGGCAAGTCCTTCTCTGCAAACACGCAGATTGGCACAGTGTTGGCGAGTGAGTTTGGATGCATGGTGTTGGCGATTTGCATCACGAATTTAAATGTTGTCTTACCATGGTCACCGCCCAGCTTGACCCATATCTCCGTTTCTGGGATGGCGCCATCATGCCATGTCAGCTTACTGCCGCTGTCAAGTATGTCGAGGTAGTGGATAATGATGTCGGTTAGGTTTGGAAAGTAGACAGCTGCAGCAAGTGACAACTCGCCAGTCCGCTTGACAAAGGGGAGCTGCTTCACTGTGTATTTCGGCAAGGTGGTGGCTATGAATGAGCGAATGCTTCTCTCCGATTCAAGCTGAACTCCGAAGGAGCGGAGCCATCTGCGCAGCTTCCGGAGTTGCGCCCAAGGAAGGCTTAGATCGGCCTTGATGGCAAGGGCAGTGCCTGAAGGTGGTTTGATGCTGGTAGCGCCAAGTCCAGCAACGCCATGCCGTGTTGCATCTGCTGTGGTGCAAACTGTCTCTGTGATGCGCTCCATTTCCAGTGACCGTCGTTTCAGCGTCCTGGCTGATGCCTCCTCCGGCTGCTTGCTGCCAACTGTTGTTCGCATGAAAACTTGCGGTCTTCCTTGGCTGCTGGTTTTCACTTCCAGCCTCCCATCTTCTGCTTTGGCGGACACAAGGTGACAGGTCAGTCTGTCACTCACATCGCCCCGTAGCTTTGATGGTGACGCTGCTAAGATCTCCTCCACTGTTGCAGCTTTGGTTGCAGTACGAATGGGCGTTCCTGAGGATGTGGATGGATTGAACGGACATGATGTGACATGACCTCGTAATTCATGGAGGCGAACGGTTGCTGGGCAACCCGACAATGCTGGTTCATGGAAGTCACAATGTACACCCCACTTGCTAACCATATTGCACACTAGCTTGCATGGCTTCTGCAGTGTCGCCAGTGCCATTGGCTGTCTGCATACTGGACATGTATTGTGACTCTTCATCCACGTGTGCACGCATGTTGAGCAGAATATATTTTCACAGCATTTGGCTTGAACTGCTCCATTTACCACTTGCAAACATATCATGCATTCCTGCACAGCTCCACTGTCAATAAACCGCTCTTTCTCTAATGCTGCTTCAGCCCGATACATAGGCGCTGCGTGCGCCGAAATCTCGTCCAAAGTAACTGCGGATGTTTGACTATCAGTGGTGTGTGCTATTGTGTTGGTGTCACCGCTGCTACTGCTGCTGGTGCGTCTTTGCTGAGAGCTAGGACTGCCTTCTGGCAGTTCAGCTGATGTTGATGCCGTTGATGTCTGTCGTTTTGCCGCTTGGCCACGCAGTTCACTGACGGCTTTCCGTTTCGGTGGACGGCCGCCCTTGGCTCGTACAGCATCACTCTTACATACGGCACAGTTAGATCTCGTATGTGGTTGCCATGTAACTGGGCCATTGCAGCCCCCACTACAATACTTATATGTGTCATCTCTCATTGAACGTGCTATAGCAAATTGACAAAGTGAGCACATGTACTGGGGATGCACGTCAGGGGAATCTTTGGAAACATCAATTTTAAAAACTTTGCCGATCTCTTCAACATAATTCTTCACCGGATATGGAGTTTTGTGACTAGCACTGGCAAGTTTTTGGCCACCAATGCGACACACGGATTCAAGAATACTCGAGTGGTGCTCCATCGCAGAGCAGAAAGCAACAAACAAGGCTAAAATGTCGATGCGCGATCGAGACTTCCTTTGCGCGATCTGGGACAAGAGCGCGATTTTCGAGCTATAGAAGGTCTCTAGGGCCACCAAAAACACAGCAAGCAGCTGCGAAAACTCGGCGCCGGGATGTAGGCAGCAATGAAAGTAGAGCAGTTTTGGGAATCGAAAGAACAAAGGACGTGGAGGCGACATGGCGACAGAAACCTGTCGCCTCTTGGGAAAGACGATCCAAAAGGCATCAATGCGTTCCTTGAAGCTTCCCCTGGACGAAAATCGCGGTTGTATGGTAAACCGTGTCGATGGGAGACGATAGGAGCCAAAATGGCCTGGATACCAACGTGAAAAATGCAATTCTCAGCTATTCTCTGGGGGCCGTCGCGTTCAAAAATTCAAAATGTTTCAAAAAAATGACGCCATTTTGAATGTCCGATTTTGTGATCTACGTAACAGCCGTGACCAATCAACAATTCATGGACGCCATTTTTCCACTCTTTCCAAATTTAATTGAAATCTGTAAAAGTGTGTTTTCACTAAACTCGCCCAATTCTGCAACGAGCAGGAAGGGCTTGTTAGAATGGTCCAAAAATGCAAGTCCTTACTCAAAGCGGAAGGATGTTCGATCTCTGACCACTTCGTGGTGGGTCTGATTGAGTTACGCACCTCCCACCGTGTTAGGAGCTTTCTCTGCGCCTTGATCCATGCTGATCGGTTTGTTGGTTCAGCTAAGTCTCCTTCGATCCGTGATTTTATTTTATACACTGCAACGAATTATCCCATGTTTAGTATTTCTCCTTTCAAAAACTGCTCTAAAGTTTGCCTGTACACAAACCAAAAACACTACCTGTGGTTTAAAAAAGAAGACCATCGTGTGTGCATATTGTCTCTTACACTGCAGAGGGCGCTACATCTGAAATGATCGAAGAACCAAACGTGTTCACGTTGCCAGTCTCGATGGAAGGAGACAAGTAAGTTTCCATTTCAAGGTCTATCCATATGCAGCATACGTGTGTGCAAGAGTAAGAGTGTGTTTTATAAGCACGTATATAGAGTGCATGTGTGTGTGTGTGTGTGTGTGTGTGTTTGCGTGTGTGTGTGTGTTTGCGTGTGTGTGTGTTTGCGTGTGTGTGTTTGCGTGTGTGTGTGTGTGTGTGTGTGTGTGTACTGAGGTGTGGTGAGCCCATCAGTGGGATCATTTTCAAATCCACCCAGAGCTTTGGGGATTTCAGGGGGTGTCGGCCGTTGGGCGGTTCAATAGCCAATTGAGTCATCTTTCCAAGATTCCTTTCGAGTCTCTCTCCCCTCTCCCGGGAGACCCACGTGACCAGTTTTGGCAGTGAGCAACAAGTAAAAGTACAAGTAAAAGTGTGTGTGTGTGTGTGTGTGAGTGTGTGTGTGTGTGTGTGTGTGTGTGCAGTGTGGGTGTGTGTGCATATGTGTGTGTGTGCGTGTGTGCGCGTGCATGTACGAAAGAAATAATCCAGATTTCACTGCCCTCTGTCTCTGTCTCTCTCTCTCTGACTCTCTCTCTGGCTCTCTCTCTCTCTCTCCTGCTCTCTCTCTCTTTCTCTCTCTCTCTCTCTCTCTCTCTCTCTCCTTCTCCCTATCTATTTCTCTCTCTCTCTCTCTCTCTCTCTCTCTCTCTCTCTTTTCTCTCTCTCTCTCTCTCTCTCTCTCTCTCTCTCTCTCTCTCTCTCTCTCTCTCTCTCTCTCTCTCTCTCTCTCTCTCTCTCTCTCTCTCTCTCTGTCTCTCTCTCTCTCTCTCTCTCTCTCTCTCTCTCTCTCTCTCTCTCTCTCTCTCTCTCTCTCTCTCTCTCTCTTACGCCTACGTGGGTGTTGGCGTTCACGCCGGAGAGCTTACACATGGAATTCTATTTGTTTGATTGTTCTTTCCTTTCCAGGAAGCCATCGCACAGCGTGGTTCATAAGCCACAAACTTCACCGAGTGCGCCACGTGTCCGTAAGTTGTAGCCATGCTAGATTTTTTGTTTAAACTTTGAACACAACCCTCCAAGTTCGATTTTGACGGGTATCAGGAAGAAGCGGAGACATAAAATGGCAGGGGCAACCATGAGCCATGGTGGCTGTACCAGTGGGGTGCACCCGGCAGCCAATTGACTGGCTCGCCTTTATTAACAAGCTGACACACTGGAGGAAGAGATAACAAGGGACAAGAGGAAACAGCGGAGAGAAATGAAAAGAAGCAAAATAGCTTACGAAAAGAAGTGCAACGTAGCGGAATAGCAAGAGCATGCGAGTGTATTTCTAAAGGAGGCAGTGGCAAGAGACAAAGATAACGAAGAGGCTACTGTATGCACACACAGCCGCATAGAGGATATACCATCTGAGCTACTGTAAGACCAGATATTTTAACGTCAACGATCTCCGGATTTTTGTGGGTTAGCGAGGTGAAATTCTACCGAATTCCGTTTTCAAAACCGGCAAATGACTGTTCATGTACATATTGTTGTGTACATATAAACTTCAAATGTTAACGAATTTTTACATTCGGCAAATCGTTAGAACCAGAGAACTTGTAAGCTCAGTGCCCTACGCTATGCTTTTTACCGAGCTCATCATGCATGTTATTCGAACTGATGGAAGCATCTTTGGGCTGATGTTAGGGAGGAGAGGTATCATCATCATCCGTTAGACCTGTAGAGGATGTCAGGTAGAATGCGAGCGAGTCACATAATCTGCCAGAGACGGCGTCTCGTCCGGGCCTTACTCCTCTTCACCCTCGAACATCGATATCCACGGATTGGTGTGCTCGATAAACTCCCGGATGCCTGATCGAGGCGGGACATAGAACTCTCGATGGAAGCAAACATCTGGCCTACTGATAACTCCAGCTTCTGGAAACGCTCTAGCGAAACAGGTCTGAATCTACTGACCGATCTGCGGGCCGAATTCCTACTAGCACTTGACGTGAATCCGCACTATTGCCCTGCATGCATTTCCCCGATACACTTGGCATACATACACTTTCTTCCAAGTTGCTTCACGTTATGACCTTGCAGTTGAAAGCAGGGAGCAGTACAATACCATGTACGAGGGAGTAGTACAATATCATGTATTATTATTATTACTGTTAGGTACTTCCTCCCGTACCTTTTCTAGCTGGCCTGCATGCACTTGCGTACTCACCTTTTGTCTCCTTTTGTTCCGTTGGCCTGGGTAGCTACTTGCGCGCCCATATTTGCCATAGCTACCCAGGCCCTTTATCTTGCCGTTCAGACTTGCTCTCTTTTCTCACTCTTCAATGTAGTCGTTTCGTTCGTCTTGGTCTCTTGTCTCGTCGTCTATAATAAATGTCGTTCCCCCAACCTACCTGTTCCCGTTGTAATAGAGGTACGTGGGTACGATTTTCCGTGCCAAAATCCGTATGGGCGCTACGGATTTTTTCCAGGCGTGCTCCATACGATTTTTCGGCACGGAGAATCCGTGTGGACTGGCTTTCACACGAACCATGTTTCGTATGGAGATTTTGCGTCATCGGGCGCAGAAAGATTTTTCGCGTACAAATTTGGCACGAGAAACATCGATTTTCCGCGGGAAGTTTTGATTTCGGTACAAATTTTCAAAATAAAAAGGCATAGCGCGGGAATGTGACGTGTTTGCGATCGTAACCTAGGCAGTATTATTTTTCCGAAGTCAATTCCAACACAAGGACAAATATATCGATCCCGCCGCCGTGATTACAGTAAGGCCTCTGCCTCTGATCTCTCTCATTTATTGTCAATTTCTGATCTCGGATCCTTCTCGTCCCCGTCGGTCGATGTAATGCTAGAAGAGTGGCAAGGAAAATTTGAAGACGCCTTGGATGTGGTTGCACCCTACATAATATCACGGAGACAATCCCCTGGAAAAAGGAAGAAGTGCCCATTCATGACACCGGAGTTACTAGCTCTCATTAGGCGACGTAAAACCGTCTACAGAAAGTACCGCTCGTCTGACTGCAGTAGTACGGTTCTACAGAAGGAGTTCAAAGTTTTGCGCAGCAAATGCAATAACCTTTATCGCCAACTCCGAAATGCCCACTTCCGCTCCATCTGTGACGATTACCGGCGAGATCCTAGGCGTCTTTGGAGCACCATCAACTCAGTCACCCGGCGCACAAACCCTAGAACTGAGCCTCTCGTCCAGGCAGATACCTTGAACAGGTATTTCCATAGTATTGTGTCAGATCCGAACCCGGCTTATGTTGTTCCAAGTGGTACCTCAAGACCGTGTGACTTGCACGAGTTTCGCCCTATTTCTGAGGATGAGGTACTTCGGCACCTTCAGAAACTCGACGGTACGAAAGCGCCTGGGCCAGATGGTCTCCTCCTGAGCATCCTGAAGGCCGTTGCATCAGTTATCGCCTTCTCCCTCACCCTAATATTTAATACCTCTTTGTGCACTGCTGTGTTCCCGACACAATTCAAGTTGGCTAATGTCACGCCGATATTGAAATCCTGTATGGGCGATCCTACTTCTCCTTCGAACTATCGTCCTGTGTCACTCACGTCGATTCTGGCTAAGACTCTGGAACGCCTGGTTCTAAATCAGGTATGTGACAGTTTGACCATCGAAAATCACCTCCACGATCACCAATTTGGGTTCCGACCAGCTCGTTCCACGACACAACTGCTCACACTTGCTGTAAATGATTGGAAACTGGCCCAGGACCGCGGAGAGACTACCAGTGTAGCCTTTGTCGACCTCAGCAAGGCGTTTGATCGCGTCCAGCATCAACAGTTACTCATTGCGCTCCATGGCATGGGTGTTCATGCAAGCGCCCTGCGTTGGTTTGCGTCGTACCTCGCCGGGAGATCTCAGCGTGTCGTCACGCAAGCCAGCCAGTCCTCAAGTCTTGCAGTGTCTCGAGGAGTTCCTCAGGGAAGTATTTTAGGCCCTACCCTCTTTAATGTCTACCTGAGGGACCTTCCCCGGCTTGCGGAGACAGCGGGTTCAAAATTACTGATGTTCGCAGATGACAAGACAGTCTACTATAGTGATCCGTCGAAGGCGCGTTCCGAAGCCAAGTTGTCATCGGCACTGGAGATACTAAACAACCACCTTGGCTCCATTGGTATGCAGATAAATACCGACAAAACCGTTGTCATGCAAATCCATCCCAAACGTGCCACAGGGAGTCAGCAACAACAACAAAGGCAACAACTGCAAATCACCTTGTCAAATGTTACGCTAGGGGAAGTGGAAAGCACCAGATGCTTAGGAGTCGTTGTTGACAATAAGCTGTCCTTTGACCAACACATTAACAATGTCGTCCGGAAAGCCTCACGGAAGATCGGTGTACTGCGTCGATCTTTCCGCCAGATGAACCTGTTTGCCCGCCGTAATTTCGTTGTCGGTGTTATTCAGCCTGATCTAGAATATGCTCTCCCTGTATACCTTTCGTTTATATCCGCTAAAAATAGAAACAAGCTAGCCTCACTCCACCGGCGCGCTGTACGAGTTGCTTGTGGCGCATCACCCCAAGCTAATATCACGCCACTTCTTCACCACCTCAATGTTTCCTCTTTCCAATATCGATCAGTATTTTTGTTCCTTGTATTCATTTTCCACTGTTACTGTATTAAGCCGGCTGTTTTCTTGCAGTCCCTCTTTCCCATCTGTACGTCTACCCGAACTACTCGCGGCTCTACAACTCATAACATGAGTATCAATCGCTATAGATCTATGTCTGGCTTTCTGTCCTTTTCAAGTAAATCGGCTCTTGTTTGGAATTATTTACCAGACGACCTGAAGTCCTGCACTACTATCGCAGATTTCCGCGTCAAATTGGCTATTTGGCTAAAACACAGCTTAACTCTTAATCATTGTTGTGATTTGCTTTCAAGCAATGTGCATAATCAGTAACTTGATGTTGCTGTTTTTGTTTTTTTTGGTTTCCCGTTCTCGGGGCCTTCTATTCGGTACTCTTTGTAGTTGTACTTCTGTTCTGTTGAGCTATCCGAATTCAAATAAACATTAAAAAAAAAAAAAAAAAATGACGGCAAACACATAAGTTCCGTACCCCGGAACATTTCACTGCTCGAAAACGACGTATAAAAAATGCGTAGCGCCTCTACGGATTTTGGCACGAAAAATCGTACTCCGGAACCTCCCTAATGTCTGGATAATGTGTCGTCAGTCGTCCTGTTTCGAACTCAACATTACTCTCATTATCAAATTTTTAATAGGGCAATCCCCAAAGGCCTAAGGCCTTTTTACAGGGTACCCTAGGAAAGCAAGTTCTGATTTGCGGAATAATTGCAATGAAGAACATAAACGGGCCTCAGCAGGGAGCGCGTTCCAGCTGTCAGGGCCGAGGAAACCAACTGAAAATAAACCAATGTACAGTAGGTATCGGTTATAGCATGGGTGTTTGAAAACCGACTTTCTATTCTTATTTCCGATATTTCTTACACACGATAAATCAAGTGAGGCATATCATATGCACGTGCGCAGGGGCAGGAAGATCGTCGTACGTCATGCAACGCAGTACTTCTGTGCATGTGGCTGGTCATAGTCCCATAGGCTTACCATGTGGCTATGCAACATGAGTTACATGACCACAACAGTTGAATCTGCACCACCACGACGCAATGAGAATCAGATCAGAACGGAATTGGACAGATGTTATTACTACAGGCGATACACTTTGTACTAATCTGGCATGTTTCGTTACACAAAGTCCATTCTTAGGACCCATGTATCCTACTATGGTATAAATTGCTTGTAAGAATAAATTTGCACTTGAAATCCATGTTATGATTATGAAAACATGAGAGTTCATTCGTGTAGGCCGTATATTCTTTTACACGACCACACTATAACCGATACGGACTGTACTACTTCCTAGTTGAAAGCCCTATTTGAATAAGGCTGTGTTTATATGAGGCGTTTCAACCCGGGTCAGATTTCAACCCGCCATGTACACAAAATGAATGGCGCTTGACCCGGGCTGAAATT